AATTGTAAAAAAAAAAAAAAGGAGAGAGAACGAAACAAGAAGCAAGGGAGTGAGAGATTCATTCACAAAGCTAATTTTAAAATTGAAGTTTAGACCATGTACCTTCAATCTTGAATAATAGAACTACCTTCAATCTTCAGCAATGGAATGAAGTTTTTCCCGTGTGAAAGGTGTGCTGAGTAGAGAGAGAAAGCCCATTTATCTCTTTCTGGCAAAAAAAAAAAGCGTCAACTTTTGGAGCTAGATAAAAAATGAGGACAATTTAGTAATTTAGGTAGTTATCCACATTTTTCTTCCTAAAATCCTCCCACTTTTGAAGAGATTAAATTTAGTGGGACCCACCAATCACAATTTCTATTCAATTTTCTTTTCCTTCCCAATTTCCTTTCTACCAAACAAGCTAATTTACCAATTTCCATCCTAAAATCCCTCCAACATTTTCTTTCCTTCCACTTTTCATTCATACCAAACATAGTGTAAAGGTCCTTTTGATTCACGCTTTTAAGTCAGTGATTCTGATTTATTAACGGAAACTTTATGAGAGAATAAAATTTTGAATTTAAAATCTTTGTGAAATGAAAAACGTACTATAATAGAATCAAAATTATGAGTTTAAATAGAAATATAATTAAAGGCACCACCAGTGTGGAGGTACTAAGTACCATCACTAATAAAATTTGAGTCCCACTTGTGAGTCCCACACTGCAGAACCCCACATTCTATTAATCAATAATTTTAAGCACCACTAATACCTTATAATATCTTATAGTATTGTTCATTCAAATATAGACTTAAAACAACTCATGGTTTATTTTTTCAACATTGACAGATCATATCACATCCGTTATCATATTACAATCCGTATTGTCAGTTCTACCATCACTCAGAGATAGATATGTATAGAATTTAAAAATAACAATATACACTCTAGTAATTATAAAAAAAAAAAAACAATATACACGAGTACAAAATAAAATAAAAGATCATATCATCATATACGTCACTACTACTACTTGTTTTTTAGCCCGTTCACTTCGCTGATTCGAGTTTGTAATTTGAGTTGAGATGTGTATTTATGTGAGAGCTTTTTACTGTAACAAAAAAGTTAAATGTGACTGTTTCTGAGAGCTTTTTACTATAACAAAATTCAAATTCTAAACTCGAATTGGTGAAGTGAACGGGGCTATAATTCGTCACTTCTACTACTTTACCCATTTCTATTATACCCTCGCTCATGTAAATTTTTACCTTTTTTTTTTTTTGCTAGTCATGTAGAGTGTGTTTGAAATTCGTTCTAAAATAATTTTATTTTTTATATAAAAATAAAAATGAAAACATTTTTAGGAGACGTTTGGTTAATGGATTAGAACCATGAGATTAGAATCATTTTCGATTTATGTGTGTTTTTTGTGAGAGAAAATACTGTAGCGAATCACGAACCATGATTCGAATCAGGAGACGAATCCCCCAACTAAACAAATCTCAAACAAAGATTAGTTTTGAAAATACGTTTAGTAATTTTATTAAAAAATTATTTTCAATACAAAAAAATTTATTAATATCTATCTTTCTGCTCGAGAGAAAAAAAATAAAAACAAAAAATAAAAAACGGTTAAAAATTATTCTTTATTCTCTTCTATTTTATATTAAATAAAAAAATCATTTTTACTTCTATTTTTTATCTGTTATTTCCCTCCTATTTCATTTTTTCATTCTAAAAAAACGCAAAAAAAAAAAAAACAAAGGGCATGTTTGTTTGCGTTTTCGTTTTCATTTTTCACGGTTTTCAAAGCAAAAAAATGAAAACGGGTGTTAAAAACGTGTTTGGTGCAATTTTTTTTTAAAAACAAAACCAAAAACGTTTTTGTCTTTTTGTGGAAATCAGAAAACGAAAAAAAGGTGTTTTCATTTTCTCATTTTCGTTTTCTGTTTTCTGAAAAACGGATTTCACTTTTTTTTTTCTTTTTCATTTTCTTCCCTCTTTTCTGAAACCGTTTTTGTATTATATATGTTTATTTAATATATTTATTTAATATATTATTATTTAATATATTTAATAATATTATTTATATAATATATTTAATAATATTATTTATTTAATATATTTAATATATTATTTATTTAATATATTTAATATATTATTTATTTAATATATTTAATAATATTATTTATTTAATATATTATTACATGTTTTCAAAAATTAAACCACCAAACGCAGTTTCAGTTTTTTTTAAAACTGAAATCAATCTCTAAATAAAACTACCAAACGCATTTTTAGAAATAATTCAAAAATAAAACTAAAAACGTTTTCATTTTCATTTTCGTATAGAAAATAAAAACGTTTTGGAACCAATTCCAAACGCACCCAAAAACAATTGCACACAGCCGTAAAATTTTACCTTATTGCGCTATAACATTATTCTTCTCTATTTGAGCAAAAGGCACTCCTCGCTCACCAAACGCCGGCAATGCCGCCCCCTTACTTGGACACGTGGTATCTCTTGCGTGTGGAAGCTTGTCCGACATAAAAGACGTGTGAATGGCATAAAAAGTCCCTAGGCCCCGTTCATTTCGCTGATTCGAGTTTAGAATTCAAGTTTTGTTACAGTAAAAAGCTCTCACAAATAATCACATCTAACTTTTTTACTACAGTAAAAAGCTCTCACATAAAATCACATCTCAACTTGAATCAGCGAACTAAACGGACCCTAAAATATCGAAAGAATTTTTATTCTTATATACATAATCTCCGTACGTAATTATATTCACATATTTAAGGGCATGTTTTTTTGTCTAAAAAATTTAAAAAAGACAGCTCGAGTTTTAATTTTATTTAAATTTACGTTTTTTTAAGTTTCAATTTTATTCAACTTTACTCAACTTTATTCAAGTTACAACTTTAACTAAAGTTATAACTCAAATTCAACTCAAAAACTACACTCAAATTACAATCCAAAAGAACAACTCGTAAATTATTTTTAATTCAATTAGGAATGTGATATTTTTTAAATTTTATTTAATTATAATAGAAAAAGTTATATTTCATTCATTTTATTAATTTAAAATTTTAATTTAAAATTTTTATAATTAAAAAATCTTAAAAAATATTATATTTAATTTTTTTTTACTATAGTTAAAAGCTTCTTAATATATCACATCTCAACTTAAATTCACAAAACGAACAAGATCTTAATTGTAACATTTTTTGAGAGTTTTTAATTGTAAAAACTTGATCTTGTTCGTTTTGGTGATTCGAGTTTTCAATTCAAATTTAGATATAATATTTTTTAAGAACTTTTAACTATAACAGAAAAAGTTAGATGTGATATTTTCTAAGACTATTAACTTTAAAAATTAGTCTCATTCATTTTACAGATTCGAGTTTTCAATTTCAACTGAGATGTAATATTATTTGAGAATTTTTAACTGTAGTAAAAAAAGTTAGATGTGACATTTAATACAAATTTTTAATTATAAAAATCTAGAATTAAAAACTTAAATTATGACGTTTGGTTCATTAGTTCAGAACTATGATTCATGATTTTGATTTTTAAAATTTAAATTTTTTGCTAAAAAACACGATAAATAACTAATCTCATTCATTTTACGGATTCGAGTTTTCAATTTCAACTGAGATGTAATATTATCTGATAATTTTTAACTTTAGTAAAAAAAAGTTAGATGTGACATTTAATACAATTTTTTAATTATAAAAATCTAGAATTAAAAACTTAAATTATGACGTTTGGTTCATTAGTTCAGAACTATGATTCATGATTTTGATTTTTAAAATTTAAATTTTTTGCTAAAAAACACGATAAATAACTAAAAATTATGATTCAAAATCAGATATAAACTTTTCAACAAATTTCACCTTGTAGTATTGTTCATTCAAATATATGTTTATTTAATGTATTCATATCATAATTTAAATTATAAATTATAATTTATTATAATATTTTTTCTTAAAAATTGAGTGTTTAATATGAGAATTTATATCATTACTATTTAAAATTATAATTTAAAATTATAATTTAAAAATAATTTTAAATTATAATTTTAAATAGTTCATGTACATGATTTTAAATTAGGATTATGACCGAGAATTCGAGCAGGTTACAGAGTCATAATTTCCGACCGTCAAATTGTATAAAAACACTTTGGGAAATGTAAGCCTCATCGGAAGCAGTAAAAAGAAGCTGCAATTAATGTAGCTATCTTAGCCATAATCGATTACTTTTGCCGTTTTGACTTTGAGGCTTAGCTCTTAAGAAATCGCGAACTTTTGGATTGTTTTTTTTTTTTTTTTAAAGACTCAGAGTTATAATCTTATTTAAATTTTTATTCGTCTATAAAAATTAATAAATAATATTTTTTATTTTTAAAATATTATAATTTTTTCATTTTAATTTTGATTGAGATAATTTTTTTATATATTCACAATAAAAAAATGAATAAAACTCTATCCATACGGTCTATTAAAATTTTTCATAATTATTAAATTTTTATTAAAATACTATATAAATATAAATATAAATTTTAACCTACTTAAACACAAATTTAAAAAAATTCTCAATTCAAATTATAACTCAAATGTGCACATTTAAACACAAACTCAAATTATAACTCTAACTTACGACCCGTTCATTTCATTGATTCGAGTTTAAAATTTGAGTTTTATTAAAGTAAAAGGCTCTAAAAAATAATCATATCTAACTTTTTTTTTACAATAAAAAACTATCATATAAAATCATATCTCAACTCGAATCAAAATCATCACTCAGATCACTTTTAAGTCAAAAATGCAAAAATGCAAAAGAACAACCTTTTGCTGTGGGTTTCCCTCATAGTTAAGTTATACACTGCTTGGGACCGTAAGCCGTACTATAGAGTGTGTGCATATATACACACACATATATGTGCATTCAAGCATCGAAAAACAGATTTCACTAAAAGCTTTTTTGGTAAACTCCCAAGTGAGAGAGATATTCTAGAGAGAGAGAGAGAGAGAGAGAGAGAGAGAGAGAGAGAGATGGGAGTGCCTTCATTCTATAGGTGGTTGGTGGACAAGTACCCGAAGGTGGTGGAAAACGCCATTGAAGAGACAGAGATCAGCTTAAACACAAGCTTGCCGAACCCAAATGGGATTGAGTTTGATAATCTCTATCTTGATATGAATGGAATTATTCACCCATGTTTTCACCCGGAAGAAGAAGATGTAATGTTAATCTGACCCCTGCAAGTTACTATAGATGTATTTCTGGTTTTGTACATGTATTATTGACCATTTTAGTACTATTTTTTGTCCTTTGTTTGAATAGATTTCCACACCAAGTACGTTCGAAGAGGTCTTCAAGAACATGTTTGAATACATAGACAGGCTTTTCAATATTGTGAGACCGAGGAAGCTATTGTACATGGCCGTTGGTTAGTGAGACAGTACTTTTAACTTTATTCTTCTTTTCTTTCATGCCTTGCTTAATTTCTATGTTGTATCTTTTGCTCTTTTATTCTTGTGAGACCGAAGAAGCTATTGTACATGGCCATTGGTTAGTGAGATAGTACTTTTACAACTTTTTTTTTTTCTTTTTTTTCCTTTCATGCCTAGCTTAATTTCTAAGTTGTTTCTTTTGCCCTTTTATTCTATCATATCTTTTGCTTTATTATCATGTTCATGAATAGTATGAGACTGAGAACTCATGTATGATTTCTTTTTTTCTATATACAATCTCATACGTAAAATATACATTATAATTACCTCATATTTTTTTTTGTCTCCATGTTACAGAAATTGTTTCTCTCTCGTGTTATGGTTATTGTGGAAGTTGAAAAGTTTTTTTCTTCTCTTTTTGCTCCCTCGTAGATGGAGTTGCTCCAAGAGCAAAAATGAATCAGCAACGAGCCAGACGTTTCCGGACTTCGAAAGACAAAGAAATCGCTGTCAATTTCTTTCTGATGCCCCTTAAATTTCTTCATAACGTTTTCTTTTTTAATAAAAATAAATAAAATTTACGTGTTTTTCTTAAAAACTTTGTAGGAAGAGGAAGAACTTAAAGTAAGACAGCAATTTGAAATGGAAGGCAAAAAAGTTCTTCCCAAAGAAGAAGAATCTGAAGTTTCTGATTCCAATATAATCACTCCTGGAACAGAATTTATGCATAAATTGTCTGAGGCTCTAAAAAGCTACATTAGCTTACGCTTAAGGAACGACTTGGGGTGGAGAAATATCAAGGTTTTGATGTAGTTAATTAATTTGATGAAAAAAAAAAATGGATTTGGAAATGTTGTATTTCATTGATATATACTTATTTCTTGTTTTGTTTCTTTTGATTTATACCATATGATCATAATTAGGTAATTCTTTCTGATGCCAATGTTCCTGGAGAAGGGGAACACAAAATCATGTCGTTTATACGCCTGCAGCGTACACTTCCTTCATATAATGCAAATACCCGTCACTGCCTGTATGGTCTAGTAAGTATCAATTTTTTTTCCCCTCTTTTTCAGATGTAATATAATATATATTTTGGATTTAAAAACTATACTATTATTATTGTGAATTTACTGGAGAACTTATTTCTCGTCTTAGTTTATGTTTTTATTTACCATTTTATGTTTTTATGTGAAGCTTTTGATTCGTTTGAGTTTTATGTGTGGCACTTAGCTTTGTTGTTGGCATTCATGACTTGCAGGACGCTGATCTAATTTTGCTATCTTTGGCTACACACGAAGTTCATTTTTCCATTCTAAGAGAGGTTAACAAAACAACTTATATATGCGTGTATATATGTATGTATATATTTATGTCTAGTAAGTAGTTCATGAATCTACCCCATGTTATGATTATTTGCTTCTTTTAACCTCATGTCAAAATTTGTTAGTGATTTTTTGCGAGTTAAATCTTAACAATGAAGTTAAATGCAATGATAATTCTTGAAATTTTGTTGTCTATTTTTGACCTGTGTGACCTGTGTTCTGTGTTTAGAATGTTAAGGTTCAAGAACAGAACCACCGCAATTTTAAATCGGTTCGCGCTACAAGTCATTCGACAGCAGAATTCTCTCCACAAAAGTCAAGAGGCTGGTTTAATAATGTGCTAGACTCTGCAGATAAATGTCTGGCAGCATCTGTTACCAAAAAGCCTTATCAGGTCTTATTATTTCCTTTACTTTGTATTTGCATAAGTTGCATCTGTTCTGTCTCGCTTATTTTTTCATGTAAATTCTCAGTTTCTTCATGTGTGGATCCTGAGAGAATATTTAGAGCTCGACATGCGAATTGATGATCCTCCGGAGAATTTCAAGTACGACTTTGAGAGAATAGTTGACGATTTCATCTTCATGTGCTTCTTTGTGGGAAATGATTTTCTTCCCCACACTCCATCTCTGGCAATTCATGAGGTTAATTATTTCATAACCTTTCATAACAAACTTTTGAATTACCCCAATTGGTGAAAGTTGAAACCGATTTGAGTTAAGGAAACTTGTCGTGTTTAGTTGTGGCATAGTTTTGAACCATTAGATTATGTAAGACTTATTTGGAGAGTGTGACGAGTTAACGGATTAATTGATGAAAATCTGACAATTAACCAGAACTGTGGCCTAAAAGTTTTATATTCTTTCACACACCCCCTACCATAGAATTCTTCATCGAGTCTACTTTTATTTTTTAAATCTTGTTATTTGTTACTTCTTTTGTCAGGGTGCAATTGATTTGTTGATGACTATCTACAAGAATGAACTGAAGAAAATTGGTGGCTATCTTGTTGACATGAATCGGGTAAATTAGCACATCCTTATAGATATTGGTTTTTATTTGAAATATAAAATCATTCTAGATGAGTTCATGTCCTATATGTATGCATACAAAATCAGGTTGAGGACAAGAAAGGGGGTTTTATCAAACCGTCTAGAGTTGAGAGATTCATTCTCTCGGTTGGTGCACATGAGGAGAAAATTTTCAAGAAACGATCAGAGATACAAGAGAGGAAACTTAGGCGACTTTGCTTAAATAATGTGAGTTCCCCAAAGCCTAAAATATAAAAACTATTGACTACATTCTACACGGTACTTGTATTGAAGTTGGATTGATTTCCAGGCAGATCAAGAAGATAGCAATGGTTCTTGTAGTGCTACTGAAACCAGCAGTTGTGCTTTTCTTGATGTTCAAGCGCAATTGAACAATTCTGCGATTGCTCCAAGTGGAGATGCATCTTTTGACTATCATGAAGTAGGTAGTTAGATTTGTAAATCTTCGTTTGTGCGTTATTGCATTGAAATATGTATATATGGTCTAATTTTTTGTACATTTCGATAAAAAAAAAAATGAAATTAACGGAAATTTATGGCATGAATCTTTTTAGTGAAATTCTACAATATATATAGTTTAGTGTCCACTTGAAGATGCAGTTGCATCACTAAAAGTTCAAAAGTTCATGAATTTGTGTTTTATATGTCTCTTTCCATATTATCTTCTTTTTGGTCTGTTTGTATTTATAAGTTTTGCATGCTCCTGCAGATGTTAAAGAATACAAATGATTTAAAGGAAAAAGTGAGACATAACCTTCGGAGGAAAGCAGACATGTTGAAGGGTGGTTTTGGAGTGGATAAAGTATAAAATTATGACTTCTGATAACTTTTTTTTTCCTTTTTGTATTCATTTTATCTTGAACTTGCTTTGGAGGGTTGGTTAGACTTGTTTCTGGATTCCTGCACCAGGTAAGATTGGGTTCTCCCGGTTATAAAGAAAGATACTACAAGAAGAAATTTTCTGCAGAAAGTCCTGGAGAGATTGAAAGTATAAGGAAAAGATTAGTAAGTTTAGCTACTTCATTTTTTGTTCTTTTCAGTTTTTCCTATGATGTACATTGTAATAGGCTCTATAAATGGTGATAAAGTGTTGATTAAACTTAAATCTCGAAGAGAAATTGAATTTTGAGATGCAATATTTTGTTGTCAATTTTATTAATTTTTTGCGCTATCCCCTCTGATTCCTCCTTAGTGTTAAATCATACTTAGATAACTCTAAGAAATAAATTAATTTGAATTATTTTATATTTGTTCTTTCGAATTTTGTTATAAATTCCCTGCCTAATTATTTGTAGGTAGAAAAGTATTCTGAGGGACTTCTTTGGGTTCTTTTGTACTATTTTTCCGAGCCGCCTTCATGGAATTGGTAAAGACATTTGCTATAGAATTCTACAGTGTTGCTACTAATTATTGCTATCAAAATGCTAACTATTGAGAAAAACTTTGTTTGTACGTAATATCAGGTTCTATCCTTATCATTATGGACCATTTGTGTCTGATCTCAAGGGCTTATCTCAGGTGAAACTGAGATTAAAAAAAGGTGTTCCTTTTAATCCTTTTGATCAACTCTTGAGCGTTTTGCCCTCAAGGAGGTAAATTCTTTTTCTTTCATTCGTTTCTATCAATGGGAAATTCTTGTTTTTTTTTTTGACATTGTTTCTTCTTTTTATAGTGGCCATGCTCTTCCAAAAGCGTATCAGGCGCTTATGAATGATGATAGCCCAATTGTCGACTTCTATCCTACTGGTAAGGTTTACATTTATTTTAATCACCTTCACTTAGCCTAATTATGAATGTAACTAGAAGTTGACTCTGAAGTTTTCTTCTACTGATTCAGATTTTGAGATTGACGTCGATGGAAAACGGTTTTCATGGCAGGTGTACTATTTTCTTCTAATGTATTTTCTTAATATTATTGCCTTTCATTTACTAATTATTATTATTATTTATTATTATTTTTGTTCTTTTTTCTCATAAGGGAATATGTAAGCTCCCCTTTATAGACGAAGAACGCCTCCTTTCGGAGACTACTAAGTTAGAGAATGATCTAGGGGTATGTATGATTTTATATGTTACTTTCCCATATCATATTTTTGGTTATGATAAGACTGCATCATTTTCATTTTTGAGGTTATGTAATTTAGGTTGAAGAAAGAGAGAGGAATTCAAAAAAGCTTGATCAATTGCTTGTGTACAGCACGCACAAGTTAGGATCACATATTCTGTCAGTCTCTAAAGAGCAAAACCAAAATGTGGGCAAGAGAGGAACAAGTTTGAGGTTAATCATTAATTCTATTCATTGGCTTTGTCTCTGATGGTTCTTTTCTCGTTATAAAGTGTAGCTAATCTTGAAGTGTAATTTTTTTTTTTTTTTTTCTGCTTTTCTCAGTGATGAAATTGGTGGGGTTTTATGGCTTCATCATGAGCACACAGTTGTGGATAAAGAAAATGAAGACAACTCTGTCTTGTAAGCTGAGCAGACGATTCGGTTTTCTTTTTTCATTTTCTCTAGATAGTTGAATTGAATTAGATCTCTTGTTTGTTTACAATGCAGATGTGTGTACTATGAGCCACCTGGCTGCGGTCCACACGTTCCTCGCCTTCTTGAAGGAGTAAAATGTCCTGAAAAGGTTTTTAGTTTTTCAAGTCGGGCTGTTCTAGTCAGGCTCTTTTTGTATATATGTGGGCAGCATCGGTTTTGGCTAGTTTCATCCTTTATTGCATATTCTTGTTTTTTTATGTGGGCAGCAAAGTGGCATTAACTTATCTCCTGCGTACCTTTGTTCTGCAGACAATTAGAGAAGATGACATAAAGGAAACACAATTATGGCATGAGTATCAGGGAAAGCCGCCCAGCAAGTGCGTAAATTCAATCCTTCACTTTCTCCGTTTGGTAGATGTTGTTTTTCCCACTCTTTTTGGTAAACAAACTAAATGTGTACTTGTTTTGGACATCTTCAGATACACGAATATTCAGCAGGGGCTTAAAAAGGTAAGTATTGGTGCGAATTTAGCGGTCCAAAGTAGTGAGCACAGAAGACCCCGTTCTGGATGGAGAGCTGGCAGAGGAGGAAGAACACACAGCTTAAACTATGAACCTCCGATTCCCAAATCAAGTCGAAGAGAAAACTTCGGTTTGAATACGACTCATAACAGTAACAGTCAAATTTTCCCTGGCATATCCTATGATCAACGGTATGTGCGCAAAGATGCAGGTTCTGGCTGGGGTGAAGGTAGGGGAAGACCAAACGGTAATCATAATGCAAGCAACCCAAGTTATGCTTCAAGCAGTTTCCGTCGGACATCTGATATGAACATGTACGAGTGGAGAGTAGTGCATTCGAGTCTAGATGGACGAAATATTTCGGTGGAATCACGACCATCCGAGTCGAATAGGACTAGTGGAGGATTTCAGGCAGGGAGTGGAAGTTTCCTGCCATCCAGAAACAATGCTTGGCGCCCGAGTTTTAGGCCCGATGGTGGTTACGGTAGAGGCACTAGCATTGGCAGAGGGCAACAACATCATGATTTCAGTGAAAACAATCAATCTTTTGCTCGAAACCGGTCAAGGCAATCTTATGGAAGAGGCTGCAACATTCCTTATGGTGGTTATTATCTCACCTGAATGAGTTTTTACAGCCCTGATCATGATGGTGGTTAATTTTTTTTTTGCATGCAAAACGTGTTTGCTTTTTTGTTTTGCCTTTTGTGGCACTTCCAATGTATGTATTACTTTGATGGAAATCAATGAAACTCATTTTGTGTATTCACTTGTGTGTGTTTTGGTCCTTTTGGATCTATTGTAGTTTTCATATATGAAATGACAAAAATGACCAATAATATCAGCGTCAGGAAATTTCATGATATAAATCCATATCTTAATTATAAAATAGAAAGATAAAAGTTCTTAGAGGGAATTTTAACCTCCAAAGTAAATTTTCGAGTAACTCTAGTCCTCCCAAAAATATGTCTCTCCTTCTTCACTTCTTATGTCATGAGCTCTTTAAATAGAAAGCATAAGATTATCGTTTTAATAATAAACTATATTTTACTAGAAAATACACATTAATTAATCATCCTTTACTAATAAGGATGTTTAGCAAGATATACGCTAAGTGAATTTTTTTGAAGGGACCCCATGAAATATTTACGGAACGTTTCGTGCCTCTCTTTTTTCTCCTTGTTTTCCTTTGTTTTTTTTTTTTTTTTTTTCTTTTTCTAGTTTTTTTTTATCCTCTCATCTTTTTTTGTCTACATCTTTTCACTTTTTATTTTCTTTCTTTTCACTTATTTTATTTTGAGTTGCTTTCCTCTTTGATATGTTATAGTCAAATCCACTTCATTAAATTATTTTCTTTCTTTCTTTCTTAATTTGTCTCCGCGAAAAATAAAGCTTTTACAAATATATCCATACTTTAATATTTTTCTACAGTTATCTAAAACATTCTTTATTAAATGAGATCTTTATAAATATTTATTTTGAAATAGCCCCTTAAAATATTTTTTTCTTCAAGTGCACCCCTGTAAAATACTTTTTTACTCCTTATATGTATACCTAAGTAGTTTCACATTTCTTACCCACTTAAATAAATTCTTTTGACATATATATAGCCTATATTTTGAATGTGCTCCTGTAAAAATGACTTTTTATATATACTCCTAAGCAGTAATCTAATTTGAGAAATGTTAACAATACTCTTTCTGTCATTCTATTTGTTAGTCTTTACGCTCACCGTTTGATACATAAACTCTACTACATAATATATTATTATTTAAATAAAAAATAAAATAGTGAAATTCACCTATCAAACAGTGAGTGGAGAGAGTAACGAAGAGAGTGACAGAAAGAGTGTTCTTAGCATTTCTCATATAATTATTATACACTTAAGTATATTCACTTCTATATACGTAATTTTTTCATGGAAAAATTTCATATTGGTACTATGTGTTTTAGCGTAATCGTTTTTAATATCCTATATTTTTAACAATTTTAAATTAGTACCATGACGTTTTAAGAAATCATTTTTAATACCTTAAGGCCATTTTTTGGGATGTGAAATGTCATTTCTACTCTCCTCATTAGTTAACATAAACCAATAAATTTAAAAAATTTCTAAAAATATTTTTAAACATTTCTACCCTTCTCATTAATTAAATAAAAAAATAATTTCTTAAAACGTTATAGTACAAATTTAAAATTATTAAAAACATAAGATACTAAAATAATTTTACTAAAAGGTACTAATATGAAATTTTCCCTTTAGCCTCTTTTTTGGTTTATTTTCCTTATAATATCATTGCAATTTTGAGGCATATGTCATCAGAACACTTATTTCCTCTTATTTCTCCCTATCACGCCACAACTTTAATTGTTTTAGAAGGTGTTTTGAGCATGTTTTTATAAATACAATGAGTGTTTTGAGTATTTATATAATAAGAGAGATGAAAGTGATATTTTGATAAAATATAAGGAGTGTTTTGAATATTTTCTCAAAACAAATGAACAAAAAATACCAGATTTTTTTTATTTTTTATTTTTTTGTAATCATACCGAAGCTGTTTCAACTAGTACCCTTTAACAACTAAAAACATTCCTAAATATCTTATCTAAAATCAAATTCAGATAAAAATAAGAAAATTCTAAAATGGGTTAAGATCAAGTATTTTTTGTTTATTAAGAAAATATACCATTAGTTTTTAATCTTGTCCAAAGTATAACTTTAAATTACAGTAAATACATAAAGTTATATGTTTTATTGGTCAAAACTTGATTTTGATTTGTGAAATTGTCAAATTATCATTAGGAGGAGTTTGTATAACTGTTTAGAGACGGAGATAGACGTAGTATACATACTACGAATAATTTGATTATTTCACAAGTTATACCGAAAAATGGTATGAATTTATATATTAACTGTAATTTAAAAGTATGTGTTTAATAAGATTAAAAATAGATGTATATTTTTTTAATAAACATAAAATATGTAGTATAAAAAGGTAAATAACCCAAGCTCCTCTACTGTCAGATTTCTGCTTGTAATTTTTGTTTAAAGTTTGGGGACTTGTGGTGGAAAAGTTAATAAGATATTTGTTTTAAGAATTGTCTCTTATATCATAATTCTTAATTTTTTATTATATTTTCCTCTTATAAAAAATTTAAATTTTAAAAATTAAGAATATGAAGTAATAGAGTCCTACAAGTCTTGTCTTTGCTTCTGTTCCGTGATAAGATTTCATAGATTGTTTTACAAATCTCAAGGTGGAATTTCATGGATGTATGTATACAAGCTATAACTTGTCATCATTCTGCAGAAAGTAAAGCTTCAGCAAAATGAGTTTATCATCTTCAACTGATTTTCACCATCACTATGCACCTACTTATTCGCCGTTTCTCAACCAAATGCCTTATTTTCCACGACCCTTCTGCGCAACAATCTTACATGGAACTTTCCCAGAAATTCTACGAAGCCATGAAAGCTTGTTCATCTCTCAGGTCCATTCCCATGGCTCGAAAACTCCATGCCCAACTCATCTCCATAGGTTTGGACTCTTCCGTTTTCCTTCAAAACAATCTCTTGCACATGTACTCTAGTTGCAGCTTGATAGACGATGCCTATAGAGTCTTCAGCAGTATCGAGAATCGCAATGTTTTTAGCTGGAATACAATTATCAATGGCTTGGTCGATTCGGGTCAGATTAGGAAAGCAGCGATTCTGTTCGACGAAATGCCTGAGAGAGACTCTGTCTCTTGGTCTACGATGATGTCCGGTTATTTTCATAATGGGCAACCGGAGGAAACTATAAGACTCTTTGCTTCAATGATTCGATGTTGTGATTATTATGTTTCTAATCCATTTTGTTTCACTTGTGTCATGAAGGCTTGTGGTGGTCTTGGCCTGATTAAATTGGCTCGTCAACTGCACTGTCTCGCGGAGAAGTTAGATCTTGGAAGCAACATGGCTGTTCAAAGTTCGGTTATTGATATGTATATGAAATGCAATGCAGTTGTTTCTGCTGAGAAAATGTTCCTAAGGATGCAAAATCCTAGTTTGTTTTGTTGGAACAGTATGATCTATGGTTACTCTAAGCTTTACGGGGTTAGAAAGGCTTTTGATACGTTCACCCAAATGCCTGAGCGTGACCATGTTTCTTGGGTTACAATGATTTCAATCTTCTCTCAACATGGTTTAGGAGTTCAGAGTCTTAGTACATTTGTTGAGATGTGGAACAAAGGTTTTAGACCGAATTCCATGACATGTGCTTGCATACTTAGTGCTTGTGCCAGCATCAATGAACTGGGTTGGGGCAGCCATCTGCATGCTCGGATTGTCCGAATGGAACAAACTCTTGATTCTTTCTTGGGAAATGGTTTGATTGATATGTATGTTAAATGTGGACACTTGAGCTTTGCACGCATGGTGTTCAAATGCTTGAGAGAGCAGAACGTTAACTTAGAGGAGTTTACTTTGGCAACAGTTCTTGGGGTTTGTTTAGGACAAAATTATGTTTCGACGGGGGAACAGCTCCATGGATTTACAATCAAGGCCGGAATGGAGTCCTTTGTTCCTGTCGGAAATGCTCTTGTTACAATGTACGCAAACTGTGAAAATGCAGACAAAGCAAACTATGCATTTAATTACATGCCAACTAAAGATATCATATCATGGACAGCCATGATAACGGCCTATTCTCAGGTTGGTAATGTCGGGAAGGCCCGGGAATTTTTCAATAACATGCCGGATCGGAATGTCATTACATGGAACTCGATGTTAGGTGCGTATGTTCAAAATGGTTTCTGGGAAGAAGGTCTGAAATTGTATAAGTTGATGCGGAGAGAAGGGGTTGTTCCTGACTGGATCACTTATGCCATTGTTGTCAGTTCATGTGCTGATTTAGCAGTACTAAAACTCGGAAACCAAATTGTTGGTCATGCTGAAAAATTGGGGTTTGGATCTAATGTTTCTGTTTCCAACAGCGTTATTACTATGTATTCGAAATGTGGGCGGATGGAAGAGGCCCAAAAAGTTTTTGATTCCATATGTGAGAAGAATTTGATATCTTGGAATGCAATAATGGCAGGATATGCGCAGAACGGTCATGGCAAGAAAGTCATTGAAATTTTTAAGGATATGTTGAATACAAATTGCAAACCCGATCACATTAGCTACACATCTGTTCTATCAGGTTGTAGCCATTCTGGGCTTGTAAGTGAAGGGAAGCATTATTTTAGTTCCATGACTAAAGATTTTGGCATTTCCCCAACATCCGAGCATTTTGTTTGTATGGTAGATCTGCTTGGGCGAGCAGGCTTACTAGAGGAAGCCAAGAGTTTGATTGATGGAATGACTATAAAGCCAAATGTTGCTATCTGGGGGGCTTTGCTCGGTGCGTGTCGGACCCATCATGACTCGAACCTGGCAGAATTTGCTATGAGGAATTTGCTGGAGTTAGATGTGGGAGACTCTGGATGTTATGTCCTTCTAGCTAACATATATTCGGAGTCTGGAAAACTAGAAGCTTTCACAGATGTGAGAAAACACATGAGAGAGAGGGGAATTCAGAAAAATCCGGGTTGTAGCTGGATAGAAGTGGATAACAGGGTACATGTCTTCACTGTAGATGACACAAATCACCCACAAATCAGGGAAATCCATAGCATGTTGGAGGAGATTACTAAAAAGATAGAAGGTACAGGACTCTATATTAGTCCAACTAACTCTCTTCGTTCTCAAGCCTACCACAGCGAAAAGCTTGCTGTGGCCTTTGGGCTGATTAGCCTGCCTGCTTGGATGCCTATCCATGTTATGAAAAATCTTCGAGTTTGTCAAGATTGTCACTTGGTCATAAAGCTGATTTCCCTTGTCACCTCGAGAGAACTTATAGTTCGGGATGGGTATCGGTTTCATCATTTCAAGAATGGATTGTGCTCTTGCGGAGATTTCTGGTAACCTCAAGGTATGAATTTTTGTAGAAAGATCTTTACAAGTGTCTATCGGCTGCTTGTTTTCCTTAATAACATTCTCCTAAGGTCGGATTCTGAATAAGGAAGCAAATTACTCTAGATTCCACTGAGATTTCTCAATATTTGAATATCATTGCATCCCATAACTTCAACTTTAAAGTACACAAGGTTTGAACATGGTAAGACATTTTTATAAGATCCTCATGGGATTAGCTACTCGCGTAAAGCTACTTAACGATAATTTTGTTCAACTTTTATTTTCACCTCCATCTATGATTTACTTGGATATGTGAAGTTATTTAAAATCTATTTGTTCTATTTGTATATTCTTTGTTTTCTAAAAATCTGTGTCTTGTATATAATGTCTCTAAATAAATACTTGCTTAGAAATTTATGCTTCTGACATACAATGATCTGATTCTATAAATGATAGTAGTTTATGTTGTTTAGTTAAGGATGAGTTCTCTCTTGAACCAGCTTTTCGAACTAAAAAGCAGCAAGAAAGCACTAGATATTACTGACATTTTGTATTCACCCTATGTCGAATATTATTTTTCAATTTTGTTTACTTCTTGTAGGGGAAATAATTGAGAATGAATAGAGAGAACAGTTCAAATGGACATCATAAATTTTGCATCACATTCAGCTGAATGAATGAATCAGAGGTCTGTGCCTTTGAGGTTAGCCAAACCTTTATGTTTGGAAATATTGGACATGGTATGATAGTTAATTCTTTTGTTACATATGACCAACGATTCCGATACCAGTGTCAAGAACAAAGACTAAGAGCCCATTCTTCACAGTTCATACTTTCTCATCTACTAACATTATAGGACTTTGATGTAAGCAATTCACCTTGGTTTCCAGAATTCGTGAACTTTTGTTTAATATCTGGAAATTACTTTCTGCGTCATTTATTGCTTTGGCCTGATCTCCAGCATGAATGAAATAGATGTTTCAGTACTCTCTCAATACTAAATTCAGTGTAAAACTTTTGGGTCTTTTTGGATTTTAGTTCTTGTGGTTTACCTCTCTTCCATTAGTTCTTTCTCGATGGTTTCGTGCATGTTGACTGATTGAGCCTCTCCTCATAGAGATCCTACCAAAAAAAAAAGAAAAAAAGAAAGAAAAAAAAAGAGAAAGTAAGCTTCCATGTTCTTCTGTTCTAAAGAGATAGCCCACAAAAGTAATGAAGTCTTGGTACAATCCAAGTTTATATCTCCCCATCTCTTTGCACCGTTGCTTACGTTTTCCAATCTGGCCTGGTGACTAAGCTGCTTGAAGTTGGTCCGGAAGCTCCTCCTTTCTTGACTGTCAAAATGAGGTATTTTTTAATTTCTTTTAGAAGTCACAAGGTAGTACATCAGATCAACTCGAACAATCGTTTGTTGTGTCTGTCAATTCCATCGATTCAGACTTATTTGCTGTTAAGGTTAAAGTAATAGCTTTACAAGCTTTGTCCACTAATCAATGTCACTAAAAGGACATTGAGCATGCAATTTCATTATTATTATTATTTTTAAACATGATACTTATCTGTTAGTATGGATCACTGTGGGGTGATGATTGTTTTCTGCTAAACCGAAAGGAAACTGAAAAGAACTATTTTGCGAATGATTTTGCATTGTAATGCCAGTGGTGAAAATGTCCTGTTCTTTTTTATGCATAAAATTCTATGTTTTACTTAATTCTTCTTTATTTTCTCTTGATATTTTCTGTTAATCGTAGTGACTTGTGGAAAGATATAGTTGTCCAGATTTAGGAAACTCGTGAAAACACAAATAATAGTTGGGGAATTTGCTCTGAAGACCTCTGGAATGGCGTTGCAACGTATCCGTTAAGAAATTTTACTCAAAACTCGTCATAAAAAGTTCATAGCTGCATATCAGCAGGTAGAGGAAATTCAGAACAGTTTGATTTTGGAAAATTTGTTGATTCTCCAAGAAGATTCAGCCTAACATGGTGAAAGTGACATTTCATAAACCACTGCTTTAGCTACAGAACTGAGGGGAGAAAATTGTGCGCGAAAAGCGGCAATAATCATTGTTGTACACCAGGTGATGCATTATATCAGACATTACATCTTTTCTTGGCACCAGCAATAACGATTGTTTTCATTGCGAAGTGTAAATTACTTGGTTATGATCAAAGGGAACAAAAGGATGTCAGGAAATTGCAAGTATTAGATTTAACGCCGTAGCTTTCGGCGCTAATCTTTCTTCCTCAAAGCACATGGTGACGAAGCTTAGCCTACTGGCGGTAATACGCAGATTCGACTTGCTGCTAACGATTCAATTCGGGCTGCTGCGAAGAACAATAAATCAGCATTCTTTCACATAAAAGTCAAAACTCGTTGGTCTAAAGATCTGTAGACCTCAAATGGCTATTTTCGTTGTATAGTTAATTCTGTTTAACGAGTGCTTACAATACAAGACTTCTGTTGTATATTTTTTAACGACTAGTTTTCCCCCTTTTTGATTATTATGATTTTGAAGTTTCATTTGACATTTGCTTCTTTGCTTTACATCCTATTGATTTTTTTGTGGGCCGTTTATTTTACACGTTTAAATCGGTGACTCTGATTCATATTTAAATTCTTTATGAGAGAGCCATTAATATGAATTTTTTTATTTAAATTCTTTGTAAGAGAAAAACATTGTAATAAAATCAGAATGATGGGTTTAAATACCTATACCAAATGAGCTTGAATCAGAATCATATTCAAATAACTTTTGTCTCAAATCTGATGAATTATTTAGTACATCGGGTGTACCACGTCATATTGTTTATGTGGTACACTCGCTAATGAGATTGTATCATTTAAACATTTTATCCTTGTTAGCTTTTTACTAAATGGTACATTTTGTCTATGTCAGCTTTTCACTTTATAAAAGCTGAAAAACTGACATAGACAAAATGTCTAAATTATACAATCTCATTGGACGGGTGTACTACATAAGTAATATGACGTGATATACCTGGTGTACTGAATAATTCCTCCTCAAATCCACATTTGGTGAAAGAAGGGGGTAGAAAAACACACCCACAACAATCATTTTCAAGTGTAAAGGGTAAACCCATGTCCATCCAAAATCTGAAATTATGTTTGTGCTTTCTTACTCTCTTTTTTTTTTTTTTTTTTTCCGCTCTGCCCCTGATTGAAGCCACAGTTACTATAACCAATTAATTATTATCATATTAGTAAATTGTGACAAAACTTATCACAGAAGCTGCTATATTGGTTTCTAACTCATAGAACTAACATCAAATTTTACTACGTTTAGCATCTTGATATTCCTTGTTCTCTGGCTTATGTATTTCTTTACCTATGGTCTTCATCTTGCTTATTTGGGGTAATGTGTGAATTTATTTTCACCAAAAAAAATTTACCGCTGAAGCTTTTTCGATATTTCATCCATACTTCTTCAAAAAAAAAAAAAATCATGGAAAAAAGTACACTACAATTAGTGGCGGTTTCAAGGATTTAATTTCAGAGGCCATAACCATTAAATTATCAATTCTTAATACTATTAAATAGTTGGAAGTACATGCACATTCAGATTGTTGAAAATTTTGCTACGTGACTGTAGATTTTTCTTAAACGTTTTGTTTCTTCTTGATTTATTCTCTCTTATGTGTTTATTATTATTATTATTATTTCTTTTTGAAAATCTTGTGTGTTTAGTTTATGAAAAAAGAATAGAGTAAAACACTTTAATTTGATTTATATGTGGCACATTTGACAATAAATTATTTTGGGGGCCCATAAGAGAAAATAATAATTGAAAAGGTTGAAAAAAATGATGATTAAGTATGGACAAGAAAAGTTATCTTTCTCTTGAGAAAAAGAAAAATTATTTTAGTAGGGAAATTAGGGAAAATATTAATAAATTCCATATTTGTAAAGAGATTGTATGAAATAAATTAAAAAGAAGAAAATGCCACTTTTTCTCTTTCTCTCGAGTGGAGTAGTTGGTTGTCAGACCCTCAACCCTTGAGACGGTAGCTAAGGTCATGCGGATTTGGTCGGCTGTTAATAGTCATGGTTCATGGTGATGGAGGCGTAAATATGACGAGTTGGAGTCTGGTGGCGGCACTGCTCTAGGGTCTCAGCCCCCTCCTCAGTATGATTCAAAGGAAGGGTGGTGGGTATCTTGGGGCGACTGGTGTTGGAGATGGAGGCACGACAACTTTTGTCGGTGCAAGGAACGGAAGGTTTTTGACGTACCTCTGGTGGTTCGGGTTGTTTTCATGTTATGAGGCCATTAATAGTTTTCTCATTGTTTTGTTAATTTTAACAAAGACATTGTTGTTTTCGTCATGTTTATGTATTATAATAACAGATATAGTTTCCTCACATTCCGATTTTCTTGTATGTCCCACTGCCAAAGTTGGTTTCGACAGTAGATTTAATTCTAGGTCGTGCAATTTGTGTTCCGGGTTTAGTCTTGATTGATTAGTTATATCCATTAACTATGATGGTTTTTTGTAACGAGATTTGGTTGTGTTCAATTTTGTTTTTACTGAAGTGGTATTTTCCTGTTGAGTCTCAGCACTTATATTTACCTCATTGCTTCATCCATCCTGACTGGTATAATTCAATATTATTTATTAATCACACCAGTGTAAATATTTGTGCAAACAATTTTCAATATTAATTAAAATTCTTATTTCCAACTTCCAAAAATATTTGATATTTTTTTTATATTTGGGAAGAGATATTTGATAATTCAACAACATTAAAATAATAATAATAAAAAATAAAAAATAAAAACCTGGAAACCTAACTACATGTGATAACAGCAAAATGACGGCTAAGGAAAAGGATTTAAATGGAATGAAAAGAAAATTAGGGGCCTAAAGTCAAAATAGGTATAATTGTGGAGACTGAGGACGTAAGCAATACAACTCAACAATATTAGAGGCGGAGAAACCCTTTCATCTCAAGAACTGTGTGTTCTGGACCTTCTGGTATCTTACTTAATTGTTTGGCTGCTGAGAAAACTGAAGAAATCAGAAGAAACTTCAAAAGAACAAAAACAAAGACACACTCAAACAGTAAGATTACTCCTCTGAAAGAAATATGCTTATCCATTCTTCATAAACTATTCCTCTATGATAAGCTGAATTTTTTAATTTATTTAGTTGTGTTCGTTCGTCTTTAGAACTTTTGATTCTACAAGCTCTTTAATCTTGTCCAATTCAACGAATTCATTGTTTTTTGGCTTGGTTGAGGAAAGAAACTGATTAATATTCTTTTATGTCTTGTGAGACATTAACGGAAATATATATATATATATATATATATGTCTTGGGAACGAAGCGAAATTAAAAGAAAGTTAAAAACAAGATAATTGTAATAAGATTTGGATTTTTCACGAACTCTGTATTCGAGTCCATCGGTGAGATGAAATGATTGTTGTAATTTGGAAAACCTACCATTGCTTAAAGAAGCTAAAGTTTCAGTTTCACAATGACGATGTAAAATAGTACTATTTTTTTTTTTTTTTTTGAATTTGGGGTAGGGGTATTTGAACTCAGTGAGCGTGAGTTAAATCCGTAATTGGAGTGATATGACTTTGTTCACGCTTGCTAATAATGTGTGTCTTGAATCTGGTTCACTTTTATCTAGAATTTCTAATAACCCGTTTGGTTCACGCATCTAAGTCAGTAATTTTGATTCTGAATTCACATTTTGTGAGAGAATCCATTGGTATGAACTTCTTTTATATAAATTTTTGGTGAGAGAAAAGTATTGTAGTAGAATTAGAATTATGGTTTCAAACGCGTGAATTAAACGGACCCTAAATTAAAATCCTTCTGCAGAGAATGAGAGAGAAACTTTTATGACATAATTATGTATAAGATGGAAAACTGATGAGAAAGAGAGAGAGTTCGTAAAAAAAAAAAAAAAAGAAATTGCTGTTTATGCTTACGAAACTAGATGGATTTGCCTTCTTGGGCACTTTGTGATGATTCTTTTGTCCAATTACAATAGAACTTGTGATTGTGAAGCACAAAACTAGAGGGAAAACATGGTGATTTTGAAGACCGCCATTTGATAAGTTAATGAGTAGGTTTATACATAAGTATTCTGTGTGGTATGTTTCTGATATTATGTTCTGGCTAACGCTTCTTGAGAAATATCGAGAGATGGCCCTTTCATTAGCATGTACCTATTTTGGCAGCTATAAAGCAGTTATCAAATATTTTGAATTATTATGTTAGCTTTAGTCAGATAGTCAAGATATTATTAGTTTGCTATTTTCTTGGTAGGTAATTAGTTAAGATCAGTATATGGAATAAAGGGAATAGCTTATAAAGCTAATGACGTACTTGTTTATTTTCATTAATTAGTGTTTTTGGATTGTTTCCTTGTTGTGAGCTTTTAGTTTGTGTCCAGTTATATGTTGCTGTCATCTTCTAGATTCAATACTTTGAAATCTCTAATTTCGGGTGTTGCAAAACTTATTCCATTCTTTACACGTTTTTTCTGATCACCAATCAATTGTGAATGGCAATACAAAGGGAATAACATTCGGTCTACATTCATAAAACAACATTGTTTTTGTCCTTTTTATAAGCATTGATGAGAACCAGAGTGGCTTTTTATTTTATTTTCATGGAAAAAAAAAGAAAAAAAGAAAAAATCGCCGTGATTAGTTTCCTGTACGCTTTACTAACAAAAACCTCATGTAGGTAGGTATCTAATTAAGAGTTTCTTTTCAATCAAGAGTTATGGAACAATTGTTTTTCTTTTCCTCTTAAAAGTTGGCGTTCATTATCAAAGCCCTAGTGTCAATTCTGCAATCTGTTTATAATATTGAAGTTAGTCAGTAGACGGTCAGGTTTTAGTGAGCTTTTTGAATTCTGCACTGACTACCTTATTATGGATGCTAATGTCATCTGCATTGTTTGCTTGCTTTAAGTTTTCAAGTAAAGATCTCTAAATTGAATGGTGAACTTATCAATATGAATTAAGAGCATTACTATATTTACATGCTAGATTTGCAGCCACAAAATGCAGTGAGAGAAGATTGTGACATAGCTGCTTCCTTGTTTAAGATAACTTTCGACAACTTCTCTGCTTTGTTTCTCACCGATTAATAATTCGCGCTTATGGCAGACTACATTTTGAGGAACAGGTCGAGCTGTCTTTTAACATGGGAAACAAACCTGTGAAGAAGCAGGAAAGGGAAGAGATCATTTTGAAGGTTGTTCCTCCGTTGGACCGTGCATATGTTAGGTGGCTTACTCGGGATCTCGAAAGGATTCATGGCTTTGCTCCGGTAAATCCTCGTGCTATAAGGCCCCCGGATCATTATATAGAGTATATGTGCTTGAACGGTTGGTTGGATGTGGACTTGAATGATCCTGACATTGCCCACTTATTCAAAAACTGATGTTAATTTTGTACTTTGAACTGTGGAAATAGACTTTGTTATGCTATGTAGAGAGAGAGAGTTAATTGGTCTTTTGGCATTTGTCATGTTTTTTTCATGAGTTAATAGCATTTCTGTTTTGTAGAGAATGTGTTCTGAAGAAGCAAGGATTCGTTCTCCACTTTTTATCATTGTGTTCGAAAATAATTTTAATTCTGTGGGGACGCACAAGGCAAAGAGATTATATTCCATAATTTAAGTTTAATAACTCTAATTTTGTTAAATAGTTTGCCTTATATAATTGTTTGCTATGGGATTTAAAAATAAGATTTGACACGGCTATAGTAATTCATTGTACATATTATAATAAAACACAAACCAGAGAGGGTGTTAACATAAATATGTTTGGTTTAAAAGGAAATTTTATTGTAATGAAATTCGGTAAAAGAGTGTACCGTAATTTTAACATAAAACAGATGTCATGTAATTTTTTAATTAAAATAACGACAATAAAACATTTTAACTTAGACTAATAGTATTTATTGAAAAAAAATAGAAAGCGATAAAAATTAATAATCTCTCTTAAAAAGAATAGGAAAAAAAGTGCTACAAATTAGATTTTTGTAAAAAAAAAGAAAATCTTCCCAATCTTTTTGACATTGTTGACATCTAAAAAAATATTACGAATATTCAGTGATATTCTCCAACGGATATTTTTGGACATTTTATGGATACACCGAGAATAATATATTTCATTCCATTATTCATGTCAAGACTTCAAAATATATAGTGTCATGGACATTTCATCCATGGTCTCAAGGTTATAGTGGTTAATCTCTCGTTAGCGGAATTGGGTAGTCCATTGTTTGGCCAACTTTACTTGTTCTAGTCTAATACTTTGTTTGGTAAGATGTTATTCTTTTATTGGCTCATTTGTAATTGCTCGCACTTCAATTGAGTAATGAAGTTCATCTTTTTTTTTTTCCTAAAAAAAACAATAAAAATATTGAGCAAAAAAAATCACAAAAAAAGAACAAAGGATAAAAAAGCCTAAGACTAAGAGATTGACATGAGATGAAAAATCTTGACAAATACTTCTTAAAAATGTATTGATTTTAATTTTTATCTTTTTCTTTAAGTTCAACAATTTTCTTATGTGTGTGGTATGTGAGATGGCCGAATTATGACCCAATTTATAAACAAGAAAAAATTTCATTTTTGTACTATCTGTTATATCAAAATTTGAATTTGGTACCCTATGTTTTTAAAAATTTCATGTCGGTACCTCGACCTTTTAGAAAATATTTTTTTGATACCCTAGAGCCATTTTTTGGGACACAAAAAGACAAAATTATCCTCATTGTAAAAATTCATCTGTTGACCAGAATTTTGAAGGGAAGAAAGGATTTTAAAAATTGTTATACATGTAGAGCATAATCCTTTTTTAAAAATTCATCTCTTCAAAATCTTTTTTTTAAAAATCCCATTTTTTCTTCAACTTCTAGTCAACAAATGAATTTTTTACAATAAGGGGTAATTTTGTCTTTTTGTGTCCTAAAAAATGGCTCTGAGGTACCAAAAAAATATTTTTTAAAAGGTCAAGGTATCAGTATGAAATTTTAAAAAACATATAGTACTAAACTCAAATTTCAGTATAATAAAAGGTGCCAAAATGAAATTTCCCTATAAATAAAGTCCATGGATCCGGATCTAAGTGAAGCTGGACAATCCACGAAATAAAGGAAAAATGCACTAAATAACATATTTTATAGGTGCATTTATACTTTGTAGTATATAACGTATTTTTTAAATTCTAACAAATAATAGCATATTTAAAATTTTCTTAATGGGGACAAATGCTTCTTTTCTAATACACCCTTTCGTTTAGCATTTTTTTCTCCTCTTCACAGACCCCCTCAGACAGTCCCATCCACATTTCTTTCCTTTTCTCTCTCCTCTCACTTTCTTTCTCTCGCATAACCATCTCTGCCCCGGATGATGACTATGTGGTGTCGGAAAATTTCGACGGTGACGGCAAGTCGTTCGACGGTATCTCCCTTATCGGTTCCGTCGTAGGTCAAACCACCGTCTTGCCGCCCATTCAAAAGCTCGGAGCTCTTTTCACGGTCGTCGATTGTGATCATTTCTTTGTTTCGTGATCACCTCTGTCTCCCTCCATCTCCGCGAATGTCGCTCTCCCTCCATCAACCGAAGCTTCTCCTACGATATGGTTTTACCACTCCGACTCCATATGTAATACCCGATTTAATTAAGCCTTAAGCCAATAATAAATAAATTTAGTAAATTAAAATCATGCACCACATTTACCATTTATCTCAAAGTTATTTGTTGACATTATATTTTATTATTATAGCTATCATATGATTTTATTAAACTTATAGCTTTGTTAATCAAGTTTTCAATTTTAATGTGCAGTGCAACTAGCTCAATGTGGGAACTAAATGTGCTAAATTTATGAAGAAAAAATTATATTTATTATAATTATTTGATATGATATTTTACCTCTATTATGATTGATTTAATGATGACTTATTATTTTGCATTTATTATATGGTTTAATGTAAATGTGTTGAGGATTTAGTTGTTATTTTGAGTTTTTGTGAGAAAAGGATATGTTAGCAATTTGAGTGAACTTTAGGCACCTAATTGAAGAAGAAAAATAGAGACTTTAGAGCTGATTTTATGAGGTTAGGACAGCTGTTAGATGCTTAGAAAAACCTAGACATTTGTCCTACTATAATGTCACTTTACTTTTGCTTGGTTTCTATCAAGTTTAGACTTCATTTTTAGGTCTATTTCAGCAAAAAAAAACCCTAGAACTCTGACCATAGCACTTTCTTCTCTCTTCTCACTCCTTTTCTCACCCAAAACTCAAAATCAAACCTAGGTTTTCAAGAGAAAATGAGCTAAAAACTCAACCAGCTTATTTCAACTCGTTTTTCAACCAAGAACCAAAAATAACTATCAACGTTTTGAGCTTCTATTCACTTGGGAACGAGTTTTTCTTTGAGATAACTTCTTTCTTATGTTAGAAACTAAGATTTCAGAGATTAAGATGTTAAAATCATACTTGAGCTTCAGATTTTTGATGTTGCTTATCATGAATGTTGGTTGTAGACCCTTAAAAATGAGTTTCTTGAGGTTTTGGTTCAAATATTAGTTTCTTGGTGAAATTAATGATTTTAGCTTGATTATTGATGATTATTTGAAGATAAACTCTTATTAGGATGATGATTTATGTATTTGAGAGTGGGTCTTTGAAGATTAAGATATGCATGCTAGGTATTTGATGAAATGTTCAAATATAAGTCCTATGTACAACTTATGTAGATTCTATTTTCGTGCTATATATATTTATGATTTTAACTAATCTTAGGAGACGTTTGGTTCACGGATTAGAATCATGATATTAGAATAATTTTCGATTAACGTGTATTTTTTGTGAGAGAAAACACTGTAGCGAACCATGAACCATGATTCAAATCATGGTATGAATCCCTTTACCAAACGTCTCCTTATATTTTTTTATTAAATTATACATCACAAGCTTTACATGAGCTTTTGACTCACTGTAAATGGATTTTTTTACATTTAGTTATGAATTTAATAAGTTTAGCTGAAAAGCTATCATTTTCCTGACGAGATTATACTTCAATCTCAATTTCATGCTATTTTTGGTTAGTTTGAAAATTTTGAAACCTATCATGTAGTAGCTCTAAAAAGAGAGTTTTGAGTATACTTTTATTTGCCACTGGTCTCATAATATTTTGAGTTTTGATGAATTTGTTATGAAATTTTCATAACAATATGTAGTTATGTGTTTTGTTAAATGATGATATGAATGTGATTTTTGAAAGCTATGGTTTTTAAAAGGGTAATTAGCACATTGAAGGCTCCCCACAAGCAGCTAGTTTGTGCTTGTAAAGTGGTGATCAAAATTCAAGTAAGTAGAGTTAAAGCATTTTCAAAACTGCATCACAAGACCTAATTGACGAAATAACTTGTTCAGAATTGTTATTATGCAAGTTTATTCTCTTATGAAATTCTTATATGATTATGTTTCAAGAGTTTTCATGATTAACTATTTTGAAAGAGATTATGATATTTGCTTAGTATGTTTTTATGTTTTAAGAGATTTTATGGTACGGTATATGGATGAGAGGCTGGGTATGCAGGTGTGCGAGAGACTGATACCCCAAATTAGAGTAACTCTCTTTGAGACAACTAGAGAAAAATACTAGTGGGAAGTCTCTTGTTGATCACAAGTGAAAGAGATTCTAAAAGCCTCGCTTAGTGTTTAAGAGAAGAGAATTGACCAAAATTAGAGAATGTCCTGTATAGAGAGGCTTACTTGGAACTGAAGTTCTGTATCATACCTAAACTAAGAAGTATGAAAGTTTATGAACAATGTTTAACAAAGAGATTTCAGCCACAGAGATTTTATATACTTACTTTATTTAAAATCTACTTACTGAGTTTTTGCTCATTAGTTTTACCTTGTGATGCAGATGATGTTGTTGTTACCGAAGAATAAAAAATGATTTCCAAGGTTGGTTGAGTACTCCAAGTTCTACATCTGACATCTTGCTTATATGTACTTCCAAACAATAGATGGGCCCAAAATATTTTTTTTTTTGTTACTATGTCGCTTTTGAATAACTGTTTAATGTCTAAGATTTGTGGTTGTAATCATTTTGTACACTGACTCATTTTGTTTAAAAACCTTTATGAAAATTATGTGATGAAATCAACCATAAGTTTCCGCATCTTAAAAATGACATTATTTTAAGTATAAAAAGTATGTTTTAAGTAGCACCACCTCGTTAAATTCGGCCTTAGACCAGTTTAGCGTTGGGGGCGTTACACCATAACTCTCTCTCTCTTCTTAGATCTACTCTCTCCCTCTACCATCTGCCATCTGCATTGTCGTCGAGCTTCCGGGCGATCCCAACGATGCCACAACAAGAGAAGATTTGTGGAGGAGTAGCCAATTGTTGCCTTGCTATTCCGACCGAGGATCATCGAGGTCTCCGTCAGTCGAATCTGTTCGTGGTGGTGAAGATCTACTCGCAAGACGTCGTCGGGATCTCGCGACTCTAGCCACACAATCGATGATGTTGCTGACAGAAATCTGCTTGAGATCTGCATCAATATAGAGAGAGGAAGATGCCGACGAAGGAGGTGCTCATCGTCATTCCAGATCGTGCATTTTCACTGAAGTATTTACCAATAAATACTCACTAAATTCAAGTTTGAATATGGTAAAACTGTAATTCATATTAACATATGAGTTTGTGATTGTGATATGAGAATAATTTTGTTTTGGATTTGTCTGTATTTATGTTTAGAATCCGGTAAATACTGTATTTAACAGTCAATACTTTAGCAGTTAAAATATTAAATATGGTAAATATTGTATATCTTAAAAATACTGTTGTAACGATAAGTTTGAATATGATAAATACTGTATTTACCACTAAATACTTTAGTAATTTCAATTTTAAATATGGTAACTACTGTATTTACCAGTAAATATTTTAGTATTTACAAGTTTGCATCTAGTAAATACTGTAATGCCTTTAAATACTTTAGTAACAATAATTTTGAATATGGTAAATACTGTATTTACATGTAAATACTTTAGTAGTTACAATTTAGAATCTGTTATATTTACCGGTAAATACAGTGTTTAACGGCTGCCGGAGTCGATGGCAGGATCTTTGAAGAAATATGATATTTACTAGTAAATACATTATTTAGAAGTAAATACATTATTTAGAAGTAAATACAGTGTTAAACGATCACCGGAGTCGGTGGTCAAATTTTTAAATAAATATGATATTTACTAGTAAATACGACATATATTGGTAAATATCATATTTACTAGTAAACACAGTGTTAAATCGTAGCCGGAATTGGTGCCTGAATTTTTTTAATAAATATGATATTTACTTTTACTAGTAAATACGATATTTATTGGTAAATATAGTGTTAAACGGTCATCGAAGTGAGTGGCTGAATTTTCGGGTGAATATGATATTTACTAATAAATATGGTATTTATTGATAAATATGATATTTACCAGTAAATAAAGCATTAAATGGTTGCCGGAGTCGGTGGTCGGCTTTTCGAGTAAATATGGTATTTATTAATAAATATGATATTAAATGGTAGATATAGTATTTACTAATAAATACAGTTTTAAACGGTCACAAGTTACTAGAAAATAGTCTATGCTCACCGAAGCCGGGCCGTAGGTCGTCGGTCCCAGTCATGGTAGATTTGACTATAATCTATCTATTTTAAAAAATATGATTTAATTTACTATTTTTTTAAAAATAAATGCTTAGGAGAGGTGTGAAATGGAAAAAGAGGTTTAAAAGTATTTTTGAGTTTTTAATAATGTTTAAAATTTAAAATATTTAAAATTTATTGTTTTAAATTTTTTTTATAATAAACTAATCATTTTACCGACCGTATTCTCAAAATAAAAGCTCTATCAGGCCTACGTGGCGAATGGTAAGTGGTTTCTTATCAAAATGGGATTGGCGCCTAGTAAGTAAGAAAAGTTGTGGTGGACAAGCAGTTGTCTTAAGCTGATGGGCACTTTAGCAAATTGTCGTTTGTGGGCGCGTGTAAACCACGCGCCAATTGCCACCCGCTTATTTTATTTCTGCACTGCACGCAAACAAAAGGCGCGCAAATCGCCGATTCGAACCTTGCTATATATATATATATATATTTCCCCCCCCCCCCCTCTCAAGCGTGCTTATTATATATGCTAGTAAGGGCATGAAATTTATTATTTATTAAAAAAATATTTTATAATGTAGATAAATGAGTTCTAAATAATTGTTAGATTATATTAATTATAGCTTAAAAGATATATAGAGTTATAAAGATAGTACAATAATTTTAAAAGGTTATGAGTAATGGTGAATATTTTATTTATTATTTAAAAACATAGCATAAGAAAAAGATTTACATAAAATGCATTTATATCATTAAAAATAAGTTATGAAAAAGAAACTTGATGTAAATAAATTTTAAATTTCTTATTAATATGAGGTTTTAGTATAAATACAATGATAAAACGATCATTTTATCATGTAATAGAAATATGATTATTTAATTTGACTCTTTTCTTATAATCCTAAGTAAGAGAAAAAAGTAAATAAACTAACAAAACTTTACGTAGTTTTTGACGTGCGATGATTTAAAAGTCACATTCAACACGTAATACAATTATTATTTAAATTAATAACTTTTTCTTAAGTTTTAAATAAAAAAATTGTATATATCAAGTAAAGAAAAAAATACAAAAGGTGACAGGCTGGAAAAAGAAATAAATTATTTTTTCTTAAGCTATAAATAATAAAAAATAGTAGATAACAAGAAAGTAAAAAGTATTAAAGACAAAGGATATAAAAGAAAATGCAAATTTAACTGCTCTTTTTTAAGCCCTAAGTAATAGAAAAAAATAGATAACAATTAAGTAAAAAATAAAAAAAGGTGAAGAGTAAAAATAGAAATAAAAATTAAACAACATTTTTTTGAGCCCTAAATAAGATAAAAGAGTAGATAACAAATAAGTAATATAAAAGGTGAAGGATAAAAATCAAAACACAAATTAACTGTTTTTTCTTAAGCCCTAAGTAAAATAAAAGAGTAAACAATAAGTAAAAAGTACAAAAAGCGAAAGTCATAAACATAAAAAAATTGGTTGACAACTTCCTGCTTCACCAAATTTTATATAATAGATATATATATATATATATATTTGACGAAATTCTAAAATTCTTGTTTCTTTTTCATCGATCAATTCATTTATGATTATTATTATTGACACCTTATGAATTTTAAGGTCATTTTCAGTTTGCTCGTTTGTCCTCTGAACTTTAAAAACTCTCACTTTACCTTCATGAACTTTGAATTATTTCTACTTAACTCATTATGTTGCAATTTTTGTTTAAAACACAAAGAAAAAAGAGAATAACGTAGTTATAAGGTCTTTTTGCTTAGATTTCTGTTAAAAAAAAATAAAAACTAAATGACCACACTTAACTTTCTCTTTTTTATCTGATTTTAATAAAAATTACTATAAAAAGGATTAAATGAGAACAATTTAAAATTTATAAAGTAAAATAAGAGTTTTTAAAATTCGAAAGACAATATGAAAATGACTCTAACATTCAGGACACTAATGAAAAGAATCCATTCATTTATGTTGTCTAATCAGTTGAAAAACTCCATTGTTAATTAAAAACTAATCAGTTGAAAAACTCCATTGTTAATTAAAAAAAATCCTCTTTTAAATTTTTTTTACTGACACGTGAATTCCACTATGTAGTCAACGTGTCAAACAAAAAAATAATAAAAAAATAAAAAAAGTGACTCAAGTAATTCTCTTGCGTCTATTTTTGTTTATCGAATCATTAATTTTCTATCCAACGGTCTAAAAAACGTGCCTCATTGATGAGGAAAAACAACGTCCAGTCATTGCAATTTTCCCTATATGTTGGTCTTCCATTGTCTTTTTACGAAAGTCAATCAAGTATCCGTTTAACATGTGGGCATATATCTATATTATATTGTATTATATTATTTTATTTTTTAGGATACATTATTTTACATGTTATATAATAGTTGTTGTATTTCTTAAAAAAATAAAAACATCGTTATTGATTTCTTTTAAACTATGAGTTCTCTTTTTACCATAATGAACTTTGGTTTTTGGCTTACAAAATGAATCTGGATATTTGTATAAAAATAAATGTACATTTCTTAAATTTTTATATTAGATATTTAAATTAAAATTGTGAACCAAACCTGTCACACCAAAAATGACATTATTTGATTATGACTAAATGTCCAGATACGTCAACAAGCCAATGTGCTAGTGCATTTACTATTTGATCCGGATCATTGGCTGATTTTTCAAGTAAATAATAATTTATCAACATTTACTTGTTTGTTACCTTTATGCGTTCTGATCTTTGCTTTAAAGAGCCCAAAAGTCAACATTTTAAAGAATAAGCTTTCTAAGAAGTGTGTCGCATCAAATTACATATTTATTTTTAAGGCTAAAAAAAAATCACCGATAGAGTCTTTTTTTTTTATTGTTAGATTAATTTTTTAACAATTAGATCTGTAGTAAGAGCAATTCTATATGACGCATTATAAATTTTTAATACGATTATACACAAATTTAATTGTTAAAAAATTAATGCAACAGTTAAAAAGATGACTCCAGTTGTTGTGGAGTAAAAATATGGGTTGCACCATAAGATTTGATTAAATCAAATTAAAATAAAAGGATATATAAAATTAACAAAACTTGTATGTATCTGACGGATTAAAACATAATGGCACTAGTAAAGTATTTTTTTTCTTACCTTAGAGTAAAATTCTCATGTTTTTTGCTAGAAGTAAAAAAAAAATGATAATATTTTTTGCTCAGTAGTTCGGGTTTTTTTTATTTTTTTTATTTTTTTATTTTTTTAATCTAGCAAAAGACTGAAGGCCTTTAATTTTTCAGAAAAGATTCTTCAGAAAAAAAAAAAGAAAAATGAAAAAAGGAAAAAAGTAAATAATAATAATAAAAAAAAATAAGTGCTTCCCTCCACATCTATATCCGAACCAAATTCCCTCCTTCCCCAGTTGCCTTACCAAGCCTTCCCTCGTTTTCTGCTCTCTTTCCTCTCTCTCTTTTTCTCCCGCTTTTTTTTATTTTCTTTTATTTTCTCTACAATTTTCCCTCAAAACTTCCCAAACACTCGTCCGATCTCCCTAAATCTCATCCCTTTTTCTCTCCCCCACTGTTCCTCAATCAAAATTTTCCCTCCAATTTTCCCTTTTCTTCTCCAATTTCCCCAAACCCTCTCAACCGATCCCCTTTTTTCTTCTCCTTTCTCTCGCTTTTCTCTCCGAGTCGCGATTCGATCTCCGGTTTGGAGCCAATCCATGTCTAACTCCTTGCCGCAGCCGCCGGAGCAGATCGCGCATCCGCCATTGAAGCGGCAGCTTCCCTTTTCGTCGATGAAGCCGCCGTTTTCAGTTCCCGCCAATTATCACCGGTTCGGTCCTGACCTCCGCCGGCTCACTTCCGATCAAGAAGATGAGGCCATTATTGTTAAGTCCCCAGTGAGTTTTTCTTTCATTCTTTGTTTTCTTTTTGTTTTTCTCTCGAGAATGCTTTTTTTTTTTTTTTGCTAGTGGGATTGGCATCTTTGATTGAACAATTGTGTCGAGATCTGCTTGCTTAGTTGCTTTGACCGCTTCGACCGCTTCTTAGATGTCTGAGTTTGGTGAAATTGACGACTGTGTTTAGTTCTTGAACTTCAGATTTGTTGAGTTTTGTTAATGCTTGCTTCACATTAGTAACTTTATTACCTGCTTTAGCTTTTAGTGGTCCGTGATCTTCAGTTGGGATCGTTTGAATTGTCACAAATTTGGCTTCTAGAACCCGGGAAGATTAACACTTAGGACAAAGATAGAAGCTTTCATGCCCTTGTTTCTAAATTTGTTAACTTTCTTCAGGATGATAATGTATAATTCTTAAGTAGTCAAGTTAGGGTTGTGTTATTCCGGAGAAGTTGGAAGATTTGGTGGAAATTGATTTACAAATATATCTATTCGACTGCCAGTAGTACATAGAATGAAGTTCGGTGATGGGGATGCTCCGACCAAGAAACATGCATTCCAAGAGTATTGTTGAAAATCAGTGAGCAGAAAAGCCATACCTTGCACTATAACTAGCAATTGTTTAGAACGGGCCACAGCCACGTTAAACCTTCTTGGATTGCTGAAAAGTCCCAAACAATGATTTCTATCAAATCTCATTGTGTTCAACTGTTGATCTATATCTGGCCTTTCTTGTCCTTGGAAGTGCTCAATGGTTGCAACTTTCATAGGAGGCATGTCCAAGTTTTCAAGAGCTTCCTTTATTTTGCGAACTTGTTGTTTATAACGTGTTATCACTCCAATGTCTTCTTCACACAAATCCCCGTTTTTGTCAGTATCTTTATCATATTTATTGCCTTGCCTGCCTCGAACCGATTAAACCATGAGGGATTATTTCTTTCCCTCTTGTCGTAGCATTGGATGCCAAAGAAAAAAAAAATGAGGAAATTCTGTGTCAGGAAGGAAGTCCACAATTTCCGTGGAGCTTAGGCCATCTTGACATGCAATCAGTGCTCCTTTGTAGACAAGTGTTGAGGGAAGATGTAAAATTCGGGATGACACCGGTAATTTCTAACCAATTTTGTTATGTAGTTTTCATCCATGTCTTTAAATCACTCCCACTCAAAAACCCTCTCCAAGACGATTTGCCCAGGCCATATTTTTCTGCTTCTTTTGAGTATTTTATTGGACCCAATTGCAGAGGGTCTCCAGCAGGAACTACAACAGTATCCTTGTTGCAGAGGTTGGCCATGGAGATCGTTGTTTAGGTTTCCGAAGCTTGGCCAGCATCATCTAATAATATATGAGTGAAGTGACCTTTCCAATATCTTCTGCATGAAGAAGGGAAGGCACTCGTGCAAGTTGAAACAATAATCTTACAGAAGCAGAACGAAGGACGAGATGATGCTTTAAGCCTGAATATGTCATTCTGTTCAACTTTTACAGTCTTTTCCTTTAGGAGTTTCTCAAGAATATGGTTTGCTACACTATTATATACTAAAAAAGCGATAAAGATGGCCTGGGGAAATCGTACTTGGAGGAGGGTTTTGGTCAGAATATCTTTTTTCATGGATTCTATTGGATAGGAGCTGTTTTTGGAGGAGGTCAAGATTGTAGTTGGTTGAAATTTCTTGTGGAAAGTTTAATTAGGAACAGAGGGTTCTGTCTGGTTTAGTAGTTTAGTAGTTTATAGTGATAGTTCCCGAAACAACTAACATATATGAGGCCATTAATAGTTTGTGATTCTTTTGCTCAATTAATAGTTTGTGGTTTGTGATTATTCTTTCTTCTGATGTGGTTCCTTGGAGTGAAGCTCTGAACACAGTCCTTTTGAGTAATGTAATTTGTATTTTCACTTACATAAAATAACAATATGTGTTGCATTCTTGCACCTACTTAGAAAAACCTAAACATATAAATTTAATTCAGCCTTACCTAGGCTTTAAAGCATTTGATGGTGTCTCATTTTTTTATTTTTTTCACGTGGTTCCGTGCTCATGTTAAAATGTACTTCACTTTGATATGCATCTCTACTTTTTATCAGCGTAATTATGAATTTCTTGACAGAAAAAATAATATAGAAATGATTAGCTTTGATCCAATCTATAAGCTTTTTTAAATATTTGTGGTTTTTATTGTTTCTGTTATATCGCTTACGCTTCCCTTTGGATTTATTCTGAGCAGTGTGCATATCTATGGTAATATTTTCTCAGTTAATGAGTTCAGAAAACCTGTTGCCCATGCGTGTTTTTTTTTCCCTCACTCTATTGGATATTCTGTCATTATTCTTATGTTGAATGGAATTTTGCATGTAAACGTTAGGGTTTAGTTGATTGGCCTGGCTATAATTTCCTTCAACATGGTTTGGGGTTCAATCCTTTAGGCTACCTACCTGGTGCATGACAAAAAGGCTCGTGCTTCCTAAAGGTTAACAAAAATGAAAACAAATAATTAAAGGAATTGAACTATGCATGTTTTACAGTTATTGCTTATATTTTAATCTCTTGCTAATTGTGTTCCGGGGTTATTAAATCGTCTGTTAGCAGTTAAAGCGGAAGAATGACATGACAGATCATGAAGTTGAATCTAGTGATAGAACAGCTGGTCCTAGATTTACCGAAGTAGTTAACAGCCCCCTTCAGACTCCTGTATCAGTAAAAACGGGAAAGCCAACTAAAACATCAAGGCTTACAAAGTGCAGTAAATCTAGACCTCAAACTCAAACCCCCGTTTCAAATATTGGTACGTTTTTCTTATTCAAAATCTAAATTATAGTTCTACCATATATATATATATAATATATATATAATATATAGATGGTAGAACTATAATATATATATGTAATCTTAACATGACCAAATGGATTAGTTTACTGCCACTATAATTCTCTTCATCTACTGGGACATTCATTCTGTAAAATTGGCAGGTTCTCCCTCTGGCACTAACCTTACCCCAGCTGGTCCTTGTCGTTATGACAGCTCGCTCGGTAAGAGAATTCTTTCTTATGCTTTTGTTAGCTCTTTTATTTTTTTTTTTCAATTGTTTATTTATAGAACCTTAACTTTACAGAAGGCTTTTAGTGCTATAGAGCATGCATATAACAACCTATTCTATGATCTCTGTTCAGGTCTCTTGACCAAAAAGTTCATCAATTTGATCAAACACGCAGAAGATGGTATACTAGATCTAAATAAAGCTGCTGATACTCTAGAGGTGACCCTTTTTTTGTGTGTGTGTGTGTGTGTGTTATGGTGGTGCACCTTCTATAGTGAAGTCTTGTAAAAATTCTTTTTTTCTTTGCAGGTGCAAAAGAGACGAATATATGACATAACAAATGTCCTGGAAGGAATTGGTCTCATAGAGAAGAAACTCAAAAATAGAATTCAGTGGAAGTACGGAAAGTTAAAAACTGTTTCTTAGATTTTTTGGAAGTTAGATGCCATTTGTTATTACAAAGGTAAAGCTGAGAATTGAGAATTTACTTAAAAACTAATGATTTGACCGATTGGTTCTTTAGGGGACTTGAGGTGGCAAGGACAGGGGATGCAGATGAAAATTATGGTAGCCTACAGGTACGGAAAACAAAGAGCCTGCTTCTTGATTCTTGCCATGGCTTGGGTGGCTCAAACTTTGCTTAGCAGCATGAATGCAAAATTTTTATGAGTGAACATCAATATGCTTGCTGTGCGTGCATGTTGCAATTCCCTTTTATTTAAATTTCTGAAGTGTTTGCTAACTTTGCTACCATTCTTAATACTGGACCGTACTCGTTTTATGCATTATTGATTTCATTCTTTAAGCAATTTTGATATAAGTTAACAGAGCAGTTCTTTAATATGCATGATCACTGGGATTGTCTCAGTAGAACTTTAATAGACCTTTCGCTGGTAGATTGTTCATTGAATTTTCACCTCTGGGTCAAATGCTGCAATGTGGGGGGAAAAAAAATCATATTCAGATCGTTAAGAAGTTGTCTTATGAAAACATTTTTTATTTGCAGGCAGAAGTTGAGAACCTATCTATCGAAGAGCACAGATTAGATGAGAAAATAAGGTTATTTGATTAATTCTTTTCAGTTCCACACCATTTTCTTAGATCAATATTTGGATTGTGCTGAGAGGCTTATAAAATCTGGCAGACAAATGCAAGAAAGATTGAGAGACCTGAGTGAAGATGAAAATAATCAAAGGTAAGTTTTCATCTTTTTTAACATTCTCCCCTAGTTGGTAATACTAGCAGCCAATCATTTGTATTGGCATGATCATTTCAATAATTTTTTTCCTATCTCAGATGGCTGTTTGTCACTGAAGAAGACATAAAGAGTTTACCCTGCTTTCAGGTTGGTTTGTTGTCTTTGCATAATTTTCATATGTGTTTCGCCTTGTTCTTTCAGTCTGCATGCTAGTGTCTCATACGGTTGGCATTGTTCATCACTCTGTATTTCTCGTTTTCATTTAAAGTTAAACTGCATTTTTCCGTTAACTGACCTTGTTATTTTGGATCTAACAGAATGAAACTTTGATAGCAATTAAGGCTCCACATGGCACCACGCTTGAAGTCCCAGATCCTGATGAGGTACTCCCATAGTAAATGAGATTTAATAACAGTTTATGCTTTCATATGTTTATCTCTCTCTCTTCCTCTTTTTTTTTTTTTTTTAATATACATTTTTCAATATATGTTTCTATTTACATGCATATTCCTCATTTAAGCTTCACACTTCTTTTGTAGGCTGTGGATTATCCTCAAAGGAGATATAGGATAGTCCTAAGGAGTGCAATGGGTCCCATAGATGTTTACCTTGTCAGGTATTACCGCTTCTGCATAAAAATCTAGTTGACCTCTTATATGCAGGTTTTTGGAATCCTTGCATAAATGATAATTAGGACAAGTTACTAACCTCGCTCTATCTCCCACCCTGATTCTAGTAAATTTGAAGAAAAGTTTGAGGAGGTTAATGGGGTTCAGGTCCCTACAAACTTTCCATCAAGTTCAGGGATTAATGAGAACCCAGAAACATCAATAACTGTAGAGAATAGAGCTGAGGACATCGAGGCGCAGCCACAATTTGATGATGGGATTGGTGTGGATCCTAATGCCACACAAGATTCAATGAGTGGGATGATGAAAATTGTTCCCTCAGATGTTGATGTAAGTCTGTCCTTGATGCATAGGGATGTGATAGCTTACAGAATTATTTCAATAGCTTTTTTGAAGAAAGAAAAGAACAAATGGGAATCTTCAGCATGAGCTCCTTTCACATTATGGAATATGTTCAGTATAGTAAACTAACTATCGATGTTTTCTTGCGTTGTTCAGAGCGATGCGGATTACTGGCTCTTAACTGATGCTGATGTTAGTATCACAGACATGTGGAGAACAGATCGTATCCTCGTCTTTTTGATCTTGCTACTGCATTTGTTTTATTTGCTTATCATAAACTTGTTACTGATAGAATAACAGTAGGCATAAATCCTGAATTTCTTAACACTTCAACTATAGCTGCAGTTGAATGGAGCGACTTAGGGTTTCATGACGACTATGCAATGATTAATGCTAGCATGCCAAGGCCCCAAAGTCCAAATTTGACTGTGGCGCCTTCTCATGAGAATCCTACGGGAGTTGAAACCACCTCTAATAATAATCGATCTGGAAGTTAAAACTTCTAATAGAATATCGTGTTTGCTATTCTATAGGAAATTCACGAGCTTGTCTTTCAGGAAACCTATGATGTCCAACCACGCCCCTTACACGCCTATGCTGTTCGCTGTGAAGGTTGGATGGAAGGTTCCATGACTCTGGAAATTTGAGAGCTGGAGATAGAGGTAGTTGACTCATTGTACAGGTTAAGTAATACGTAACAATGTATCTAGTGGCCATTAAAAATTACAATTTGTTATGTATCTGTGTATATTAGTTGCATTCTAGATTTTGACTAGCTGCTAGACATCGGGTAAAGTAGAATTCGGATAGTGATCAGGGAAGTTAAAATGATGGTACCGTTAACAATTTAGTGTAGAAGAACCAGATCGGAAAGACAGTTGGTGCATTATCTGTATATCTCTTTTCTTGACAATGTTGTGAGGTGATTGAAGTAAATACCACTTGTTGCTGCACAATTTAGCACGTGACAATTGAATTCAAAGTTTCCTTCCTGATCAGCAGGTGGGACTGGTAAGTTCATATCTGTCAACTGTTTTATGCTTAATTGTTTGTCGTTATCTCTCTTGTTATAATTATCTTGAGGGTTAATTCCGTAATGCCAAAGATAGCCTGTTTCAGTATGCCCCCTGACTTGTCAAAAAAAGTTCATTTCGCTCTTGAAGTATGAAAAGTGCAAAACATCCCCTAGAACTAATTTTACTTTATAAATGTCTCGTGAATTATTGACTTTGTGTTAACTTGCCCCTTATCTTTTAAAAAGTTGAGGGATAAGTTGACACAAAAGTATAAATTTGGGGAGCAAATTGATTTAAAATTATTAATTTGGGAGTATTTATAAAAGTATAAATAGTGTCATGTCATCATTTTGTTTGTTTTATAATTCAGGGTGAAATGAACCATTTTTAAAATTATGGGGACATATTGAAATAAGATACAAAATTTGGGGGCCATTGATGAAATTAATCGATATATTTATTTTCCTTTAGGCATGGTAAACTTGTGATTGATTTCATAGTTATTTCGCATAATTGCCTTCCGCATCACTATTATCTGTAGCTCATAATTTGGTTTATCTTCCTTGATTGTGATTGATTATTAGCAAATACTATTAGCTGAAACCAGAATGGTTGTGTGTTTAAATTCTCTAATTATTCGCTTGATTGATTGCTGGAAGAAAATGCTCCTAAAATTCTCATCAGTTAAGAACTTGATATTTGTTGAATAGTTTACATTAGTACGAGTAAAGTGCAAAATCTCGTATGTTTTGGAAGATTTTGAAGGAAGAAGAAAAGTGGTACAAAAACTAGTCTTCCTTTTCGACCTTCTTTCCAATCCAACTGGCAACAATGGGAGTGAGAGCAACGGTCGGAGGAAACCTTATGGGAGACGCAGCCTTGTGTGCAGCATAAGCCAAAGCAAATGTTCCCACTTTCTCTCCTGTCTCGTCAGCTGAGATTCCTACCTACAAAAGCACCCCCGAAGGAAAGGCATTGATGCAAAAAAAAAAAAAAAAAAAAAACACATGACATTGAATTGAGCAAATTCGTATCAAAATGAGAAAGCACGCAAAACTGATTAATTTGATGGTTTAAAATACTTTCCTCACTTGATTTTGGTCTCTGTTTTAAATTTTTGCACATAGTGAATTGAAAGTAGCATCATCAACTAGTCTGTAAGATTTCATGGCGTTATAAGGGTAAATTGCACTGTTGCATAATGCATCTTGTACCTTTAATTTTGACAACTTACACCTTAAACTTTAAAATAAGTTACAATTAAGGTCGATGAATAATGATGTTATCAAATTGACAGTTTAAGATATGTAATTGGCATAAAAAAAACAAAGATCGCCATTTTTTCAAACCATATGGTGTGCATCTCATATCTCAAATTGTTAATTTAATTACTCTATTAGCTATTGAATTTTAATTGCAACTGATTTTAAAATTTAGAGTGTAATTTATTAAAATTAAAAGTTTAGAATTCATTATGTAAAATCAAATAGTTTATGCTATGTTTGGTAGGATGGATAAAAAAGAGGAAAGAAAGAGAAGTAAAATACCTAAGTGAAGAAAGTAAAATGGTTTTCTTTCATGTTGTTTGGTAGAAGAGAAAGAAAAATGAAAAGAAAATGTTAAATTTAAAACATTTTACAATAATACCCCAATACAAATAAAAATATAATGAACGGTGAATGTTAAAATTATTATTTTACATTTCATTTTTTTGTCAAACTTTTTCCCTCTTCTTTTCTTTTCAAAGTTAGAAAGATTAAAAATTAGTAGGCCTCATAGATTTTTATTTTTCTTCCTTCCTCATTTTCTTCTACAAAATCCTTCCACTATTTTCTTTCCTCTCTTTTTTCCATCCTACCCTACCGAACACACCGTTAGAGTACAACAATGCAATTTACTCAATCAGTAATGGTGGTGTCAATAATAATGATAAATAGCATTGCTCTGTATAAAATTAGAAAAAAAAAAAGAAAAAAGAAAAAAGAATCCATAATAAGACTTGTTTGAATATCTCGGTGTTAGAGAGAATCATAATTTAAATTAAGTTTTCAATTTCAACTAATTAGGGTTTAAATTCAAATGCTATGATTATCTTATTAGGATCTTGTTTGCTGTGTTTATTTTCTTAAGATCTTGTTTCTGTTTCAAGTTTAAATTATTTTAGATTACGATAAGATTTGTTTGTCTAGATTAGGATAAGATTCGTAAACTATATATATATATATATATATATATATATATGCTATTCATCATCAATTGAAAAGCTATGCCATATTTTTCCAATCCTATTTCTTCTGTACTCGGTACCTTTTGCAGCAAAGCTTGGACATCAACACCAGCGCCAATTAGAACATAACAAAGGGAAAAGGAGATGATTGAGAGAGTGATGGATGTGGCCAGATATGCTCCGCCGTATTTCGCCAACAGCTCTTTCGCTTGATCGCCCTTCGATTTCTTTTTCTCCCCATCTTCCTTTCCTTCCTCTTTTGAACTAAATATCTGGACATTAATAGATTTTTTAGACAAGAAAAATTAGGTCGCTTTTGCTCTTATAACCTTTTTTTTTAACGGCCAAAATAAGCCCGCCGAATAGCAAAATTAAAGGAACAAAAAGCGTACAGTTTAAAACATGTTTCTAAACAGGTGAATTAAGCACAAAAAAAAAAAAAAAAAGTTGTCCAAAAAACAATAAAGCAACAGCTCTTTCTTGTAATTTGTTTTTAGCTTCTGCAGTTTTACTGTTCTACGCAATAGAACTAATAAATCTCCACAGCTAAGAACAAATCTATTTGTACAGTAAAGAGTTCGAATCAAAATTCCTATCTAAATCATTTATTTCCGAGGCCTTCCATCGTCTCTCTTGCAATTTCAAAATATAATACCAGAACTAGAAAGAGCGAAAGTAGAAAAGTTTTGAACGAAAACAAAAATTACTACAGGAAATTCATGAGAGAGAGAGAGAGAGCAGAGAAATGGGTACCTTCCAGAGACCAGCCTCGAGACCGTACTTTTTGGTAATTTCGTCAGCAGCAGCAGAAGAAGAAGAAGAAGAAGAAGAAGAAGAAGTGGGGTTTTTGATTTCCTCTGTTTTCTCTTTGAGGGCTTTAATTCTAAAGCGTTTAACGTCAGAAGAAGATGATTGAGAAGGCGAAAAAGCTTGAATTGGGGAACAACAATGGCGGAGTCTCAGCTGCCCTTTATCCAATAAAGAAGCAGAGCAAACGGGAGGGACTAGTACTGCTGTTGTCATTCTTGGCCGTCCAAAGATTTTCTCACGAATAAATCAACAAAACGGGGAAGAGAACATTTTATTAATTTCCCAATTCGGAACTAAACAAATAAATTTAACTGAAGTTGCGCTACTTTTTTTTTCCTTTTTCATTTCCCTTTTGGTCAGTATTACCCCTTGCCATTGAGAAAATTAGGGAGTGTGTCATTCTTATCTCTTCAATTTTGTGCGGCGAGCCATATTTTCCTCGGGGTCAATTTAGTCTTTCTGTGCCTGTCATCTGTGGAATAATCATCGCCATTGAAAGTTATGGTCATGAAAGGATACACGTAGCGACATGATTCCCCAAAGGAAAAAAAAAAAGAAAAAAAAAAGAAAAAAAAAAGAAAGAAACTAAAACAAAATAAAATAAGAGGCACAACCAATCAAAAGGGGAGCATGAAAAAGATTGCCCTGCTTAAAAAGGAAAAAGAACGAAAAGAGGTTTAGATATTTTACCAATTTTTGTTTTGTTTTTTTGGTTAATAAGTGGATTTCATTACCAATTTTTGATTGAAAGATATTTTACCAATATTCTTGTAATTTTGGAGTCCCATTCTCTAATGAGATCCCAAACTAAGTACGCATTTTTAATCGTTTAATCTGATTAAAATTATATTAAAATAAAAATAATGTAAAATATACAATTTTATAATATAAATAGAGACTTATTTTTATTTTATTTTTTAGATCCTACTATTAAATCTCTTTTCGGATCTTTATTAACAATACTTTTTTTTTTTTTTCATACATGTAGGAATTCTAGCTCACTAAGGAAAAAGATATAATATCTTGGTGAAATTTTCAAATATAATTTATTTTAATGCAAAACAACATTTCATTAACAACAAAGATAAAGTTTAGAGAAACCTCAATACATGAAACTTGATACAAAAAATTAAAATTAGTAGATTCATTGACGTCCTAATTCAAGGATTCAAGATCTAATGTGGACACAATTTGGAGCACTTCTTCGGATTCTTTTAGTTTTCCTTCCACAGTTGGCTCTCCTGAATGGGTTGTAACAAACTCTCTACAATGACCGATCTCTAAAATTCGGTATTCTTCCGGATCAAGTTCACTATCAGGAGATCTCACTAAAACCATACAGAAGATGAAAAATAATACTAAACCCATCCTGAAAAAAGATCTAGAGATTGGTAGATGAGCAAAACCAAAATCAATAAAAACAACCAAAACCCACACAGATTTAGAGATTGGTGGGCGGAAACAAAACTAACATTGATGAATTGATTGTCTTTATTCCACCTACGACTAAAAAAAGAGAAGAAAATACTAACACAGACTCTACCATCATGTAGATCGGTCGACGTCGAGCGAGTTGATGTATTTTAAAAATCAACCGCAGTTCCAGTAGTCAGTTGGACTGTTCTCCTTCTTACCTGCTCTCTCTCTTTCTCTCTGATGAAATATAATTTATGAGTTCATAAAATAAACATTTTTTCGTTGGCAATAAATAATATTAGCTAGCTTTTTTACAGACTTTGGTTAAATTAAGTTAGCGTTTGAATCTCTTTCACAAGTTAAAGTTAAATAAATAAATAATAGTTACTAATTAGCTGATATAACAGGTGTATAAAATTTTGAACATTAAAGTATACACAAGTTGATTAAGAGCATGCCATCAAAAAAAAGTTTAAATTTTTTATTCAATTTTTTTTGTTCAAATCTATGAATTACCAAAAGACCATAAATTATTATTATTATTATTATTCCGATTACTAAACTATCGTGGTTTATAGACCCTATTCGATATTCTCTCATATGTAATTAATTCATGATACCTACCGAATCTACTTGTACTAGTAGTAAGTCGCATCTTTTATATATATATATATATATATATTTGAAATTTTTCTAGAGTTGATCCTTAAAATTCAAAATGAAACTAATATCATCCTCATTGTGCAGTATCGTTTTTTGTTCAAAATTTTAAATTAATCTATTTTAAATTAAAGGGATATATAGTTATGATTAAGAATCACTATTTTAAATTAATCTATTTGAAATTTTTCCTTTAAGATCACAGTTCTTCATAGCTATCCAAACTCGATTCGAACTAGAAGTCCAAATGAAAGGAGGTTTAGCGCCCTATATATATATACACACACACACACATAATTCTTCCACACGAATATTAAACTCTCTAAACTCTTCAATAATCTCTACAACCCTAAAATCCAGGCACAATAATTACTCCCGTTTGTTCAAAGAGCACTTTTGGACGTACAAAAGAATAACGATAATACATGGCAAAGAAGATTCGTTCAGGAACCCCAAGAGCCGACGGCGAAAAGAAGGCCAATTCTGATTTCACCAACTCAGATATCGGTTTTTGCAGTGACGATGATCGGTTTAAGTACACTTCACTGAAGGACTTGTTGCCGCCGACGAGCCACAGAAGCCGCCACTTGAAAGAAGGTGTTTTGAGAAATATTAGTCAAACAGCGCATGAAATCCGGATCAGTAATCGTCTTGTTCAGAAGGCTGCATGGCTATATTTGCGGGCGAGTTTACCACGAGAACACGCTGATCATGAATCAACGGAATAAAGGGAATTAGGACGAAATACTTTTCTTTTTTCCGTTTCTTTTAGACAATTTTGCTTTTTTTTTTTTCCGTATATTTTTCTTTTTTATAAATTATAGTTTTCTTTTATCGATCTTTAATCAATTTTGTGTATTTCGGCTTAGCAACGATCTTCTCTGGTTCGCAATCATTCAAAAAGGGTGTTATTTACTTCATTAGAATGTATTTTCTGTTCTCTATTACTTAAGTTTGGCCCTTTTGCACTTTTTATTGATATTTACATATTTCTCCAGAAAAGAAAAATAAAATAAACGCGTATGTGCAAAAGGGGTCGTTTTATTATAGATATTTTTTTGTAAATTGCTGGCATTTTGTAAAATTAAGAAAATTGTCGTTTTATCAGTGAATGTTCTGGTGGTGTGTCACTTGTTTGATCAATATCATTTAATTTTTAACTAATTTTAATCAACAAATAAATCAGTAATAAACCTGTGTATCAATGATAAACCGTGATATATCGGCAATTAACTATTGTAGAAAACAACATTTACGTAAAAAATTTCAATGATTAACCTAAAAAAAGAGACATTAATTTAAAAAAAGATGGTCAAAATTAGCCATGCACCTAATTTTTCCATAAAATAAAACGCCGCCGCAGGATCTGCCGTTTTGCTTCGTAATATTGAACGCCACAGACTGCGAGAGTTGAAGGAGAAAAAATGCGGAAGCCGAAGCCGAAGCCAAATATAACATGGTCAAAGGCAGTTTTTCTTGGTGTTTTGATGTAGAACAAAACAAGACTAATCTTGTAATTTTTAAAAATATTATTCCAAGAAGAAGAATTCAGTCACATGGGAGGGTTTCAAAATAATTTGAAGTTTCAATTTTTATTTTTTATTTTTTGGTATCTGCAATATCTTTTTGCCAAATAAGGCACCCTCCTCAATCATTTTCTCCATTATCATGCTTGAATTTTTAATGCAATTTCTCTCATGCTTAATTTGGAGACGAAACTTTTCTAAAGATCATAACGACCGTGTTTAGAATTGATCTCATTTTTTTCACGTTTTTCAAGAGAGAAAAAATAAAAATGTTTCAAAATGACGTTTGACGCAATAAAGGCAAAAAACGAAAACGAAAATGATTTTTTAGTTTACTGTAAAATGAGAGAGAAATAAAAAATGACTTTTAGTCGTTTTTTATTTTTTATTTTCATTTTCTCCTCTCTCGAGCAGAGAGAGAAAGACATTAATAGTTTTTTTTATACTGAAAACAATCTCTTGATAAAACTACTAAACGCATTTTCAAAAATAATTTATGTGTGAGATTGAAAACGTTTTCATTTTTATTTTCATACAAAAAATAAAGTCATTTTGAAACGAGTTCCAAACACGCCCAACATTTTTCTTAAACTTTAATTGGGGCAGGTCATATGCTATTTTTCCGAGTCTGATGAAAAGATACTACAAATACTAATCCTATAGATATAGAAGTTATTATAAGAAACACGATATACAGGTAGTTGTCTTAATAAACTCTAATGAAGCTAAAAAAAATAGTGTGCACTCTCTCTCTCTATGTTCAAAATATGAAAAGATAATACAAATACTAATCTCTATAGATAGAAGTTAATTATAAGAAACGCGACATACAGCTAGTTATCTTAATAAACTCTAATGAAGCTAAAAAAAATAGTGTGCACCGGTCTCAGTAAATAATTACATTAAAAATAAATACACAAAAGATCAAGCACACGCATGATTTTGTAACAAATCATCTACAATTAATATTGATACAATAGAATCTCGATAAATGAATGCTCGATAAATTGACGACATTCGTTTAACATTGTTTTACCCTCCTGATTTGGGAGCAACATGCTAATTAATAGTTTGAGAAATGTATTTTACACTACAAAAACACTTGGAGTTTGACATAGGACCCATGTACTATATAAACTAATGATTTTACTAATATATGCAACAGAATTCCTATGCTATGTCTAGGAGCCCAGCTTCATGTAATATGTATCCAGTTTTGCTCAATCGTAGTTGATATTATCCCTTGACTAACTTGCAAGAGTTCAAAACTGCTGTCTTGAATTTTCAGTTCCATTAGTTTGTCTGCTCAATACTATTTTGCCATATCATTTAAGTTTAAAAATTTGGCCACATAATAAATACTTAATAATAAAACTGCCTAAGAAGTTAAATGGGTTGTCAAATTATCAACCAATGGGATAGAAAAATATCACAGCAGATCTCAAGTCCACTTTCGAGTAAACTTTTCTTTGTTTCTGAGTGCAATTGGATTTTCTTTTTTTTTTAACTGAAACAATGCTTTACGCATTTCATGAGTCATATAGCTTCTTTCTTTACACCTTTCTGAGGGAAGCCATTGTTGTAAAACTCGTGCCATGTCTTTTGTATACTTCAATATGAGTTTTGTTTGGTCAAATGTTCATAAAATAGAGTAATAGAGTAATTGAACAAGGAAATGTAATTTTTTTTTTTTACTAGTTTAAATAAGATACACATAATAGACATTAATTAGTTCTTAAATTTACTTGATTACAATAGGATGTCAGATGCTATGTTTTGGAAAAATAAAGAATATTTTCATAAATTAATAAAACATTAATTAATAATTGCATAATTGACAGATTTTTTTTTTGGTCTTAAAAAGTATTAATTTATAGTGGTTTTAGTTTTACTGTGTGAAATTACAATAATCTAAATCTATGACTACTTCCATACCTTAAATTGGAGGCTTAGAGATGTTTCAAGATAATTCATTGCCCTTTTAATACTTTTATTTACTCTTTTCTTTAAATACAGTATAATATATTTAATAAAAGTGCTCAACAAGGTGTAGGTTTAAGTTTAATTGAAGAACAAATTTAGCTTATTAAGCAAAAAAGTAAAAAAAAAAAAAAAAAAAAAAAAAAAAAAAAAAAAAAAAAAAAGGTTAGCTCTTCATATTCCTACCCGTTTTCATCCCCGTAGTATTTTGATCATTCAGGAATCTCGGATCAACGTCATAAAATATATTCTCCTTCCAGATCGATAAAAGAAACTCGTACGCAATCAATATTGTAGCATTATCAGAATAGTTACATAGACAAGTTGAAATGAAAAATGAAATAAACAATTATCCCCCAAAAAAACGTTGAAATAAAAAATAAATTTAAAAAATGAAATAACGAATCTTATCGCCAAAAGTCCCTTCCCAACGTCACATCCCTTAAATATCTCCATAAACATCTCTATATTTCCATATTACTCAATTCAAAATCTTCCTCTTCAACAAACTTTCTCTCCATTTTTCCTTTCCAAAATCTCTCTCCCCAAACAGCCAGTATTCTCATCCTCTACCTAGAAAATATCGTCAAGAAACAACTAGAAAGAAAGAACAAGAGGAGGGAGAGTGATAAATTCTAACTCTCAAATTCTCAATATAGTTATAATATTTTCAATGTCGTCCAACAGATCAAAAAAGCTTCTAAAAACCATTTTCAAGGCCAATGGGGGTAATTGTGGCTGCGGAAAACCAAAACTCTCCGACGTATTTGAGCCAACCCCGAAACCCAAAACCTCAATTCACCAAAACCCTACAGATCTCCCGGCGGACTCCTCCTCATCGAGCTCCTGCCTAGGAAGAAACGACGGCATTTCAACGACCGACGACACCGCCACCGAATTATCAATATCCTCATCGATGACGCCTCATTCTCTTCCTTCTTCGGACGTCGCACTCGAGAAGAAGATTCCGAACAAGAAAAGCATTAACGACAGTTGCATCGCCGTCGTAAAGGACTCCGACGACCCTTTCGAGGATTTCAAGCAGTCGATGAAGCAGATGATTTTTGAGAAAGAGATTTACGCTAAGAAAGATCTTCAGGAGCTTTTGAGGTGCTTTCTCGAACTGAATTCTCCTTCTCACAGGGAGATTATCGTCCGCGCCTTCACGGAGATCTGGAACGACGTCGTTTCGAAGAGGCTGTCGAAGAAAAGTACCGGTGATCATGATCATGAGAGTTTAGATTGTCGTTGTAGTACACGTGCGAAGGCCATGTGAGGGCATTGAATTCGCACGTGGGAGGAAAGAGAAGAAGAAGAGAAGAAGAAGCTGCATGGGAAGGTCCCGGCCTACAATATTACTATTATTATTAATTGTTAATAATTATTATTCATGTTGGTTGGTCAATGTTAATTAATTAGCAAGAAAAGAGATCTATGATCAAAAAGAGCTTTAAAGAAGATGTGTGGTGGAGATAGATATGAAATTGATGAAGAGAGATCTATCCTAGTTGGGGTTTTGGTCTGTGGGATGCACATATAATTATAAACAATAATGGTAGATGGGGCAGGAACTTTAAATGAGATCTGAAATTGTATAGTGAATGAGAGGGAAGAGAAGAGTGTGAGAATGGTTTTTTTTTTTTTTTTTTTTTTTTTTTTTTTTTTTTTTTTTTTTTTTGCATTTAATTGTGGAATGTTTCCAATATGGGCTTCATTCAATGTTTAGAAGTAAGCTAGCTGTGATTTTTAGTAGTTTTTTTTGTAAGACTAGTGGACCAGTGGCTGGGCCATCTATTTTGGTTGTTAAATTTTTGTGTCTCAGTAATTTACTTTTTTTGGTTGTGTAATTTGGTGCATGCCTTTGTCAATGGTCTCACTTATATAACACATTATAAACTTGGTACCGCTGCTTAATTTGTGTGCAATTGGATCGAATTTACCTTTTTTTTTTAGATCAGATATCTCTGCCTTTAATTATATGATCTTCTGGGTTCATTTTCAGTTAATTTACAATGCTCCCCTCTCGTGGTGTTTCTTTCTTTTTCTTTTTTTGGAAATATATTTCATACCTTAAAAACAAAAATACAAACACCAATCCACACTTGATGATAGTTTCATGAGAATCACATGATCTCCATTGTTGATTTATGAGAGTGACAAGAGTCATTTTTTTCCCCACCTGAGGTGTTACCAAGCTGGAACTATGATAGGTTTATAAGGGAGCGAGTTACTCCACTCACTAAGGTTAACCTATTTAAGTTGGAACCTCAATCCCTTATGTTGAAGCTTATGGTGCTTATATTGATCTCCCTAAAGACTAAACTTTTAATGATTATTATTTACTTTACTATCCCTACAGCAACAACAGTTTTTATATAATGACTACTTTAGCAAGAAACGATGGTTATATACTCAACAGGAATGTATAAACCAAAATGCTACATATACAAGAAATATAAATCCTTTGTTCAAGGATTTCAACCAAAACGAACATTTTGGTTTTTGGTAAACTTTATGTTTTCAAATGTATATCCTTTTCTTTTAATAAGCAAATATTTTATTAGAAAAAAAGGAAAAGATCTAAAAAGAAGCATAAAAGGTAAAGAAACCCAAAATCAAATTATGCAAGCAAAACAAAATGAAGCGTAAAACACCCAAAAAAAAAAAAAAAAAAAAAAAAAAACCATTAGAAAAATCTAAGCTTTTCTAATTTTAAAACCCTTCTGAGTATGAGCTATAAGCTAGTAGGATGACTTTGTTTTCTCCAAATGATTGTTTAAATTTTTTCTCACGATATTAAGACTTACAAATTTTCTTAAGAAATCGAAGAAAAATCTGCCTCTTTTTGAGTAAGTAATCATGTAATTGTTGTTTGCTGCTGTGGAATTCACTTTAAGACTTCGATTTTCAGAAGAGTCATCATTCAGTAGATCCACACAAGACTCTCCGGGCCTCACACATTTGAGATTGATATTTTTGAGATTCAGCATTCTCTTCAACATCAACATGCTCGAGCCACTAGGAAAGAAAAATGCCAAAATTCTTTGTTTAGATAAAACAGAAACGTTCTATCTTTTAATTTGTGCCTATTTGTCATCTTCCTCAAATATATCCCCACTTGAACATTTTTCTTAGAATTCTATCATTTATTATTTAATTATAAGTGGTTTTCATATATATATATATATATATATATATATTACCTATGTATATATACATATCTATGTATATCTACATAAGAAGTCAATCGCACTTCTTCCTTTTCGACCAAAACGCTAAAACGCTCTCCCCTTTTTTTTTTTTTTTTTTTTTTTTTTTTTAATGCTTCGTGGATCGAAGACTATAGAATCCTAGGAAGTAAATCATCTACATCGGGGGAAAGTGAATTAACATTTTGTGTTCATACGCGAGTGTAATTCAACCATATATACATGTATTTAGGGTCACACACACATATATAGCTCTAAGTATAGGTGTGGACGTTCTAATTCTCTAATTTTTTATCAAAGTCGGAGTCATTGTTGGTAGTCCACTTATGATTAAAACAAGAAAAAAAGGTCATAGTACTTGTTAACATAGTTACGTATAATTACATTATACAGACAACAGTCTAGCTAGTGCCCACAAAAAAAAAAGAAAGAAAAAAAAAACAGTCTAGCTAGTAATACCATAACATATATATATATATATATATAGAGAGAGAGAGAGAGAGAGACAGAGAGAAACTGATATATCATGAAATGCGTTTCAGAATTATTTTGGACATGATATTTCCTTCTCCACGCGTAGACTGCTTTCGTTAATGTTAATCTCCCACCAATCCTTGGATTTCGAAGAAGAAGCAGATGCATTATAAGAGAAATAACAGGAACTAGGGCAAGAAGGAAGCCCGGCATACATGTCTATGAATGCCTCAACTATAAATCCATGGTTCTTCTTCTCGTTCATACTCAAGTACCATGAAAGTAGGCCTTCTAAGTATTCCCAGTTATCCTTTTCTACGCTATTAGTCTTGACCAATCCGTAAGCCTCGGCCATTTGCTCCATCGAAACCCTAAAACCGGCATAGGGATCGGATGACTCGATTGCGTGCACGACGCAGTCTTGGAACGAAAACCTAGTCGATCCTAGTATTGAGTTTGTGTTGCCTCCCGGCTCGAAGAACAGCCTATTCTTTTTTATTGCCTGTGCTGCATTCTCGAGCGACATTTCTCCGCTTTTCGAGATCTGATCTTGCCCTGCTGCTGCACTGGCTGCCAACGATGATAAGCACCTCGATTGCGACCACGAATGGTCCAAAATGGTAGCAAGCTTGTCGGCTTTACGGGGTGCTAAAACGAAATTGGCATTGTTCTTGAACATTTTGGATTTGACATAGAATGATATCGTTTTGAGCTGCTTGAATGGTCGCCATTTCCATGAACATGGTCGTTTGGTTTTTTTGTTCTTGAAGAGTGAATGAAACCCCATGTCTTATTTTTTTTTCCTTTTTTTTTTGGACATGTTATAATAATCACTTCATATGCTTTTGAAGATTTATATGAATTGATATTTTGCATATTCTTGTTCTAGCTACCGGGTGGTACTATTAAAGCTTTTTACAGCAGTATTCTTGGCTGGACAAAGGGAAATGAAAATGGTCGTTAAGACATTTTATGAAGAGCATTTAGTTTGCAATATTGTTTTTGCAGGATTTAGTTTGAGACTTAAGTTCTTTTTGTTCGGTGGAGCATTACAAAAGATATGGGGGTTAGTTGTATAGTCAGTAGGGCCAATATGCTCGTAAATAACCAGTATAAATCTTCTGTATCAGTTTTAAGTAAATTAATTAAATAGCGTTAGTGAAATGCTAGCTACCATGCACCTCTTATTTTGTATAAATTTTAGTAGGTGATCGTAGGTATATAATTAGAAAAGGGGACAAATTACTCGTTTTCCTCCAAACTATATGCAATGTCACAGAATACCTCTTAAATTGTAATTCCAGTCATTTTCCTCCTCGAACTTCAACAACTCTTGTAAATTTTCTTCATTTGTTAAATTTTTACCTTTGTTGTTACTGTTGACCGCCATTGAAGAACCTCCAAGATCCATTAGGCCAAGTAAATTAAGAGAAAGTTTGTGTAGTAAAAAAAATGACAACTCCTAAAGCGTAATTGCACTTCTATGTGACTAAACGAGGAGGAGCTAACATAGTAATTGTATACTAAAAATGACTCACCGACACTAATTATTTGTATGATACGTGTTATTTCTGTTAAAAATGTTAACATAAGGAGGTTTTTTGTTAGGTTTTGCATTTCACGTGACATTTTTTGTCAAAAATTTAGTTAAGAGAGGAAATTTGCAAGAGTTGTTGAAATTCAGGAGGAAAAAAGCTAAAATTAATATTAGCAGATTTCTTAAGCTAAGTTTTGGAAATTAAAATAATTTTCGTAATAACATTTTTAAATTTAGATAAATATTTCTGCAATACTGAAAGATCGAGTAACCTATATGTAGCATGTGTATAGGTCAAAAAGAAAAAGTGATAGTACAATAGATCGTTTTCTTGTTATTTATTTATAATATATATCTTGCTTATTGAAGCTAAGGCGAGAACCAAATTAGAAATCAAGCAACTGATAATATATATACATATATATATATATATATATGTATATATATATG